CGCTAACCGCTACACTACCGCTCCCCACCATCACATACACAGCAACCACCTTCACACATATGCATATAGCGTTGTGTGTGAATAATGATGTTGTTCCGATTAAAGTTCACAACATTTATTTTTCTGTACTATAATAAAAAAAAATGCTCCACAAACCATTGACTGTGCTCGATGAAAGTGACGACTTTCCCAGTGTCACTGCTAACATCAGCGGCGAGTGATGTCATAACTGGTTGTGGGCCTCCCCTTCACCAAACCCGCACTGACCATTGTGGTGAAGTATGGTCGAAAATTTCGATAACTAACATGACACGAGGTGGCACTTCATCCAACAGTAGATTGACAAAAAGGGCGGACATTTTATAGCACCGATTAATGCTTCCAGTTTCAGTTTCATTTATTTGGAATAACCCTGTGAGCCATTCGGCTCTTGATTCGGGTGCAACCGCAACAAACAATAAAATGGCAAGATACATTCAAAATATATTGTACGCAAATGTAAACATCCCCTACAAAAACAATGAAATCTTCCAGAAAAAGCACCATTTGTTTATGCTGCGTACAAAAATGTGCAAAAAAATCCCATTTTGATGTTTGATCACAATAACAATCATAATACAATTTAGATTATATTTTTTTGTCTAACTCGATACTATATAAAACAATCGGGCTAAACTAAACCTTTCTAGAAATTGCTAAAATAATGCTATAAAACAATGTAACAGTGATCATAAGAAATGTGATTGAAAGTTAACAATAGCTACATACATAACATATATTACTAAACCTAGCATCCTTAGCTAGCTGCATGAGTCAATCCATAATAGCAGGAGTAACAATAGTAGTAGCAGCACACTATAATCAAAATAATGATCATTTATCGCATTGGTCATCTATAGCAAAATAAATTCTACTCATGAAGTGATATTTATTGTCACGTCAGGGATGCAGAGTATTAAATATTTACTTTAACTAAAATCCGATGTGACCTTTGCATGAAATGCAAAACATGGTCACTTACTTTGTGGGGCAATTGATTTATTGATGTTTTTATTGACTGACTCGTGTATTATATTCGTTATTTGAATTGAGTTAATATAAAAAAAGAATGTTATTTACGGTTGTAAAATTCAATCAGTGGGTTTTGTTAGAAAATAAACATTTGGCTCGTTAAAGTATGTTTTACAACGTTTAAAAAACAATGCAAAGAGGAGGTACTATAGTGATATCGATATTGCTTGCAATGTGGCTCTGTTTCAGCAATGTTAAAATAAATACTCTATAGGTCACACGAGTGCATGGGAATTTTAATCACTCTGTGCTCACAAACCTGAGCTAATGTAACAATAAATCTGGACTGGGTGAGTACCAATATGTGTTCTAAAGTCGAGTTGACAGCTGTGGATGTTTAATTTTTAATGCCGAAGTTTATGATCATCGTATATATATAAAAATATGTATTTACATTTTCACAACAAAACAGAGATTACATATAATCTGGACCATTTCAAATGTCGCAATATTTTCATTGAAACTGGACAGTTTCTGAATAAATCGCAGGCTCACATTTTGCTCTAAGATAACTTTCCCATAAATCTTGCTAATAGAAGAGTTTTTGCCAGACAGAAGCAGTTGGAAACGAGGCACTGAAGAACGTTCTTATGACTTTGAATGATACTAGATATGAAGCAATACACCGAAATAGGACAGCGTAACGATGATTTTGAGCCCTCTCGACTGCATGCTCTCTTTTAGTAATTTTAACAAACAGATTTCAGGTTTTTAAGTTTATTTTTGTTTAACCAGGTAAGAACTCAAAAGATTAGATAGTCTAATTTGCAAGAGTGACCTGGGGAATGTGTCCACCAATAGGTGGCGATGATTGCTATGCAAAATTAAAACTAGAAACTATTTTTTTTATTTTACTTGGCATGTCCCACTGAGCTGCATAGCTCTTGTTCAGAAGCGACCTGACCACGGGGAGAACATGCAAACACAGACGTCAGGATCGGGATCGAACTACGCGAGCACCTGTATACTTGGCGAGGTAGTTAACAGCTCTCTACCGTGGTGCCCAATTGAGTATTTTGTGGTGTAGTTTTAGAATGTTTCAAATCTGTACCCCGACTCCAGCACACAACGGCCTACTCAAGCGAATGGCGTCAGGGGATCTTTCACGTACAGAAGAAGATTGTGTGGCTAATGAGATGTGTAAAAACACATTGAGATTTTTTTGCGTGGAGGGGGATAGGTCTTAGTGTTAAATTAAATTGATGGGCGTCCATTAACCATTACACACTTTCTTATTTAATCCACAATCGTACCCCTCCCCCTCCCCCCCCATAATTCCGGATAAAATTTGTACTCATTTACAAACTACATTGTTGAAAGTTAACCAAATCTCTAATTATATTTATACTTAATAAAAACACACAATCATATCTACACTACGTTATAATAGCATATGCTATTACATGTTCAAATGACACATTTAGATTTTCTGTAAAATACAAGACTGCACTGTAGTTTAATGCTGTATACACGTACACTGCATGTGCGAGTGTGTGTCAAGTAAAGCATCATTAGACCTCCTTTGCCAGTACCAACATGTAATAATAGGGTTTTTCCCCTTTTTCTGGCAACAAAACTGAAACCTTTTTTACAAGGATTCATGTTACTGCATTAACCACAATACCTGCAGTCAAAATGCAAACCAAAAACATACTATGATAATATATGCATTGTCCTTGAAACTGATTGGTCCACACCAAGGGACGGCTTTCTTTTGAGCCTCGACCCAATTGGTGCTCGACCAGATGACGCCAATTGGTGCTCGACCAGATGACGCCAAAAGGCGTTATCTGGTCGAGCACCAATTGGATCGAGGCTCAAAAGAAAGCCGTCCCTTGGTGTGGACCAATCAGTTTCAAGGACAATGCATATATTGTCATAGTATGTTTTTTTGTTTGCATTTTGACTGCAGGTATTGTGGTTAATGCAAACATGCATCCTTGTAAAAAGGTTTCAGTTTTGTTGCCAGAAAAAAGGGGAAAAACCCTATTATTAAGTAAAGCATTATTTCATTTGCTGTGCAGAAAACAGACAAGCATACGACAACACGTAACTAACATTTTCCAATACCACAAATATACAATTACAGAGCGAGGCAGATGTTGGGTCTGTTTCCTCCTCGCATCTCTATCAGTAGGTGCATTCTGTTCTCTGCCAGGCTGTCTGCAGTAGACACGTGCAAGGTCACTGGTGATAGATTGTGGCCGACAGACTTGCGATGAGGCCATTAATCTCCAAGCACTTTCCACCACCCCACCAAGATGCAAGGCTTTCCCTGCTGGGTCGCGTAAGCACGGCCAAAGGCAGGAACCAACCCGCTCCGCTACGTCCCACCATGCATCAGCACACGTGTGCTCTTGTTTCTCCGTTCATTTAAATGTCCACAGCGAAAGAGAGGAATTATTTACAAATGCCACACACGCATTCCAATGACATCTGGCAATAAATGGGCTGCTTTCAGTTTGCTGACATTAAAGGTGTTAACTAATACAAAAGGTCTTCCTTTGGAAAAATCCATTTGTTGAGGTTTGCAGCCTCTAATGCACACGGACAATATTACACCCTGTGCTCTGTGGACATATTTTGCCCTTTTAGACTGGACAATTTGTAATTCTCAAAGGGGTTTTCCACAGCTCGGTTAGGTAAATTTCATTCGATATAAATACGTGTTTACATTTTCACCAAAAAACGTGAAGTATATGTTAGCTGGATATTAATTTTAAAACTGTTTGAAAATATTTGAAGACATGAATTGCATATTTTTCATAAATATTAAAACAAACAAAAACAAACATTTTTTTCAAAGTACCATACTTATTAGTTTTTCCTAGTTTTTCCTACGTGCGATTTAAAGCAGTCTAGAAGTATTTTAAATAATTACAGATGATCAAACACAAGCTTTAATAACACGACATGAAAAAACTCTCCAAATTCACGGTCTTCAAACACACTGAGAGTATTAATAGCAGACAGCATGCATGCCGAGATCGTAAGCAAGGTGGACGAAGATGGTTTTCACATATCGGATAATGTCCAAATGTTTTAACTTTCTGCAAATTCCAATTATCATCATTATACTCGACTAGAACTTAAAATTCATAACATCAAAGCAGAGGTAAATATGCATCTTTTTCAATGATTTCATTTACATGTATTTCATAGTGGATATGCAAAACTGTGTGTACTGAACTATGACCTAAGTGTTTATCTGAAAATCCATCATTGCATATTGTTTTGTAAGGACTCTGCATTGTCTATGCATATACAGTTGCATATATTTGCTATTTAGTCCACATACTGCATAGCTACAATATGTTGCATTCCATAATATTAACGTAATACATATATTTCAAAAATAGGTACATTTCTAATTAAGTAAATCTCGGTTTAAATCACTTAATTTCAACTTGTTTAAGATACTTTATATGTCAAGGCTTAAATCATTACATGCTGTTTATGTAAATAATATAACCACATTGTTATATATTTTTTTTTATAGACAAGCGTTTCCCCCTTTCCAAATGTCAAAGTCGTTGCATGAACGTCCTTTTCCACCGGCTTCCTGCCAATTACTCATTACAGCTTTATCAGCTGTCAACATTCATAAAGCATTGCAGGTGTTGGTATTAGCACTTTGACTGTGGACAATTTCATTTTCTAAAGATGGGTTATTTGTGTATTTCTAAAAAAAAACATTTATTATTTTCAGAATACTGTAATTATTTGTATTTTTCATTATACCAATCACAAATTGCACAAATGACTTTTGATTTTAAAGATAATCATGAGATTGCAATCACAATTGCAGAGTTGTCTCCACCTGATTTAAATGATCACGGCAGCACACATTTATGAACTCAGTCTATTTAGCTACCATGGTAACAACTAACTCACAATTTGATTTAACGAGGTATGGTAATTCTACAAAAGCCGGTCACTGGAGGTGGCATGGATGACAAAAAAAACAAAATGGACGCTTTGCTTGCCACTGTTGTCGTCTTCCTCCTCTGCAGTTTTGCCGTGGGTCACGCTGAAGGTAAATTTTTTTGTTTCTTTTTAAACTGCTATTGTGTTTAGATGAGAATTGCCGGTCATCTTATCTCATCTTGGATTTTCTATAGCGCTTTTTGTCAAAGCGCTTTACAAGAGTTAAACATGGTATATTAGTATTGGCTGATGTCGGGGGGGGGGGGGAAGGGATGTGATTTGAGTGTGTTGGGCAGAGGGAAGGGGTGGCAAGGTAGGGCGAGTAGGGTGATGGGGGTGGAAGGAGAGGTTAAGAATGAGAAGGATGGTGAAGGTGTTAAGGACAGGAAATAGGAGATGAATACGCTTTTGAAAAACTGAGTGACTGGTATCTTGTGCAGATTTAAACTTTAATTGGAATGTCTTTTGGACACAACAGGTGCGTTCTAATTTTGCAAGCCGTAATAATTTTCTTATGGGCTTAAGTGCAACTACTGTTCATGCATATTAACGTGCAACAATTACGTCTGTAAGTATACGTAATTTCAGTTGTACTGATTTGAATTTTCAACTGAGCTCCTAGATAAAAAAATGCTTTGCATCAAGAAAATGTTTAACTTAAAGGATAAAAAGTTCTGCCCTGATTGATGCTGTAAAAGTGCAAATTGGTGTTTGGTTTCATTGTGGTGCGTGCAGTTATCCACAATAACTGCATATTGTCACATACAGCATGCCCTCCAATCATTTAGGGGTGGAGTGACCCAGCCTTTAAAAAAAAAATTCTCCTTATTTACGAAGCCAAATTTAGCAAACTTTTAAAGTTTAGTGTAATTTATACTATTCATTTTTTTAAGTTGTTGTAAACAACCACCACAGAAAATTGCAAGCCAATTCTGGAACGAGCTATCCAATGCATTTGAAGTGCTGTACTAAATTGGCACGTGCCGTTTCTACACCGCACGGAGACCCGGCTAACAACATTAAGTCGGCAGTGCATACTTTTACTTTTGAGCTTTGCGAAATTTGTTTCGCCCCCCCACCCATGTAATTGTATTTATCCACTAATGTTCGATCAAATATGTTACTCTTCAGATAATATAATTGTTATATTTAACAGACGTGTGAATACTACAAGCTCTGTGCGTGTCTGAAGCATGTGCAAATGTGTAGACTACTGGATTGGTGTTTGAACACGAACCCCGTGCAAAATAATTATGTGATGGTTTGAACGTCCATGTGTGTGACGATTGAATCGTAAAAAAATATTTATGCATGCATAAAGTAAAGCTTCTAACGTGAACCTGATTTGAAAACACTGAGATTGTGACTTGTAAATGGTGTTTTCTTCTGCATTTATATTATGACTGTTATTCTGAAATACTGTGCACGGGATTAATTATGCACTAAAAAATACTCGCTTTCCTTGCTGTCATTTCCCCCACTGCTATTTAAATATAGTAATACTGTGTCATTACTAGAGGCCTAATAAACACAAAGTAATTACCGAGAAAATCCCTTGCATATTACTTTGTAATTTGGTGAAGTATACTGCCATAATTACCAATACCTCTTTTAACATTAGTATGCAAATGCACTGCAATTATGAATGATGGGCATCGTGACTTTGAAGTAATTGGTTCGTGGCTTTTCACCCGTTCGCCGTGTCACAGGCGAGGAGGAGACCGGAGTGGTCGGGAGCAGAATAGTGGGAGGCTTCGAGGTGGCTCGCAATTCCCTGCCATACCAAGCCTCCTTGCAGCAGAATGGTGTTCACTATTGCGGAGGCACCCTCATCAATGCCAAGTGGGTCCTCACGGCGGCCCACTGTGAGATCACGTAAGGAATTGAACTCTGTCTCCCTTTCTCTCCATTGCAGGATGGTACCAATTTGCTAACAAATATAGTCCACGTTGGAAGAAGTTCAACATACAAAGATAAAGATCCTCCGTATAGCCTTAACGGACTGTTGGGGCAAGTACCGTAACGATACACGAGGGGGTGGGTGGCTAGCACAACGCCTGACCGCCTTTGTCTCCCTAGCGGTGATGTTTACACATCACACCGTGTACTCATTTGAGGAGGCTGAGTCGACCTAGTGGAGGCCCGGGACCGAGTTAAGATAATCGTCACTGGTGTTGGCCGTGAGCGGGGATCGAACCCGGGTAACCAGGTGTAGCGGTTAGCGCGCTAACCGCTACACCTGGTGACCCGTGAAAGCGCGCTAACCGCTACACTATCGCTCCCCACATACACACAAACATGCATACACACAAACATGCATACACACACACATGCATACACACACACATGCACACACACATGCACACACACATGCACACACACATGCATACACACACATGCATACACACACACATGCATACACACACACATGCATACACACACACATGCATACACACACACACATGCATACACACACACACATGCATACACACACACACATGCATACACACACATGCATACACACACATACACAAAGGTGTACGTGTGTGTATGTGTGTGCTTGCAAACAGCACTTGTCCGAAACGTCTACTAAGGCTATCTTTGTTTTTATAACGGTTAGCAACCAACCAGTGCTATTCTCCCCCATTAACCTAACCCCACCAGGTCGTTTTGGCCTCAAATCTTAAATGAGCACCTCGTGCAGTGTGGGAAAAAGAATCCCCATTGCAGAGACGACAGCGCCTGGGCCGTAGTCTTGTTGGTCACAACACCCCCTAGTGCGCCGTCAGGGCCTTCATAGGTGCTCTCTCTAAAATAATTCGTGCGTGAAAGCTTTTCGGGGGAGGGGGGAGAGGGAGGATCTGTCTCTGTAACTAGTCGCGTTCCCACAACACGAATTAGAGTGACAAAGTAGTGGCCGGGGTGGCTCCGGGCGGGTGTCGGCGTGCTGAGCCAGCATCCCCTGACATCTTTGGTTTAGAATCCAGACAGAAGCTCCCTGAGTGGCGAGTTAATTCTGAGCCTCGTCACCAATGACTGCACAGTTACATTTTAGTTTTTTTCTTATTTTAATTAGTCAAACTCCACCCCTGAGAATTAAACGTCTTTGGTTTGATTGCCATAAAACAAACATGCCCTATTGGCATGCGGATAAGAGGTTACTTGAAGGGGAATGCCATGAAGCAAGTCTGTGATATCATCTTCTGTGGACTTCTTTCTAATATTTCGCAAAGTGCTTTGCTGACATGATGCACCGTTGGAATGACATTGCTGAAAAGGCAGAGTACTAGAAGAGTCGTTTCACCACTTGCATTCATTCCTGTTGATATCTTTACACCTGGCTATTATAGCCGAAGGCTGAACACTTACATCCGTAACTTGTGTAATTGGGACTACATCATGTATATTGTACATGCTGTATAAATATATATTTTTTATATGCATAAGGAGTGTGCTGTAGACTCGAACTATGAATTGTATGTATGGAAAATTGATTGCTGTTGTAGTCTAAAGGGATGCGATTGACTGCAGACGTGACTCTCATCCCCGAATTAATTGAATACACGGGCTGCATCGAGCTCTAGTATGTTTAAAACGCCTTTACTGAAAACAACGAGCCCACAACGCGAAACTGTGCCAGTGGTATAGTTACTTTTTGTCAAACGATTGCACGGTCCAATGATGTGTTTTTCCCTTCAGCGATTCTAGCGTCTTTGCAGCTCTGTTGACGAAAAATGCAGTTGTTGCTCGGATCCGATGTCTGCACGAGCTTCATCATCGTATGCCTCCCATTCGCGCGGGGATTGGATTGGCAACACCGCTGCCCTGTACTCAATTACCAAACTACGTCGCAGCATTTCTCCGCGGACAAATAGTTTTAATTTAAATGCACATATGGCATTTGTATAAAAAATTGGTATATACAGTATTGTTTTCAAGGCATGTACACTGGTGCTTCTGACATGTCGGACAAAATATTGCCCCTTTTTGATGCATTGACATTCGATTACAATGTGTCAATTTTGTTTTATAGTAGCCTCGACTTGCGTGTCACAATGCTGCCATTGCGGTGTAATGGTTAGCACATTGGCCTCGCAAACCGGAGGTCGCCAGTTTAATCTACTGGCTGGCAGGGCAGCTGAAACAGCACTGCTCTCTGTCGAGCAGCGTTAATAGGTGCACCGAGATCATCTGGCCAACGTGAGAAAGTCGATCACATCACCCCCCCCCCCAGGTTGGCTCTTTGGAGCGCCCCGAGTCGAGGTTCAATCCACCCACGGTGGCGTGAGTACGCAAATCCAGGGCTTCAAATTCACATATACTGGGTGCTTCAATTCTTCTTTAACACTTACACCGTTTTGAATGTAAAAAAAAAATAACTAAAAATACACTTACATGTTAACAAATGTATGTTAATAGCTTCAAAAAAGTCAGTCTCCACAATTTCGCCATCGTTGTCAACACATGCCTGGAATCTTCTCCAGAGGGCCGATGGAATGATGCCGCGTTTTAATTTGTCTTACACGTGCATGCCTGCAACTATCCTGCCATCCACAGGAACGTGAACATCATAGTAGTCTTGGGGGAACACTCCCTCGGCAACGTGGAGGGGAAGGAGCAGACGTTCATGGTGGAGAGGGCCATCAGGCACGCTGGCTATGATCCTGCCACTGTCGACAACGACATCATGCTGCTGAAGGCAAATCTGCTGATTCAATAACCGACGTTCATTTTTCCCTCGGTTCACCCCCCCCCCCCTTTCATATATTCCTTTAATCGCCCCCTCTTTACCATTTGTCTGGTACAGAAATCTTTATAATTGGGTAAAAAAACAAAACATTTACATAGCGATGGGAATGATTGAACCGTTTTGGTTTACAAAAGCTCCCACTCTCCAAACTGCCGACGGACTTAAGCGAGTCCCACGAGCAGGGCTTCAATTGTCAAGTTACTCGGCTAAACCTTAATCTTAAATGGGTACTGTAAGTTCTGAAACGACACTAACCTCATGCATGCTCGGTGTTCAAGCATTTGAATCGGCGATGCAAATTATTCCGCAGTGCGTTGCACTGCTGTCTGCTTTAAGGTTACCGTGATATGGCAATCGCACCGCGAGAGCCACGGCATTCGTATCGACCGTTCTTACGAAATATAATTACGATGATTATTGTTAATATATTTTTGTTGCATTTAAATTCTTGACCCAAATGTTTGGAAAAATAACAAAATAATTATATTTCTAAAGCAATGGCTGTGACCAAATTCAATGTTGTATTTAAGAAAGTGGTTTGTGGAGTGTAAAAGTACAAGCTCGGTGGTTGTGATGTCCACATGTTTGGAACTCTGACTTGTGCATTATAAACATGATCTGTATCTTAATTGGCTGAAGCCTCCTGTAAATCACGTGACTTGCATGGCCACGCCCACTCGGAATGCCTTTTCCCCACCCCCTGTGAAAACACAAGCTGCTGCGTGCAGCATCGAGGCCTTTTTGCGTTGCCTCTTCTTACCAATCATCTCTTCTGACCCTTTTGTTCCTGGGTTTTCTGTTCTTTTTCCCATTCTTTGTGTCATGTACCATTTTATTTATCTTCTCAATTTCCCATTTTTATTTTCCACGTGAATTAAATCCTTGACTGTTGCCGCCCTTCCCGTGGTGTGCCATCGGGTGGGGGGGGGGGGAACATCTTGCGAGTCGACTGCAACTTTGCAATGATCAGAAGACTCGCGGCAGGCTTTGTGTTGAGTGAACTGCAGTTGAACTTTTTAATCATCTTTTTTACTGGAAGCGTGGAAAAAAGAAGATTAAACTGAAAATGCAAAACACAACGACACTTGCAAGGGTGCTCGTGTCGCGATAATTGTCCATTGTGCAAACTATCATCGTACATTGAACAATATCACGGCGACGCTGATAACCGCCGATGCATTTGTTGCTGTCTCCCCCGCCCACGATCTCTGTGTCTTCGCCGTTTTCCACCGCTCGTGTCCGCAGCTGCCTCGAGCGGCCGTGCTGAATGCCGCCGTGCAGCCTGTGCAGCTGGCGCGGGCGGGCGCCCGCTTGGAGGACGGGACCTCGTGCCTCGTGTCGGGCTGGGGCACGGTGGGCAACGGCGTGATGCCCGATGCGCTGAGAGCGGTCTACCTGGACACGACGTCGCGCGGCTACTGCAACGATGCCTACAGCGGCACCCTCACGGACAACATGTTCTGTGCCGTCTACGCGGCAGGAGGGAGAGATGCCTGCCAGGTAAGCTCTTTGCGTTCTCATTTGTTGCATATTCTGTTCCACGTCCCCTTCGGGTTTTTAATGCAGCTGAATTGGTTTCGCCCAGCTTACGAGGCGTGTAATCAAGAGTGGACTCTCCGGAGGTTCTAAATGTTACATTCGTTAAACGCGAAATGTTACACCATTTTGTGAGTGCGTGGATATTGGCACAAATGTGCCCTTTGAACTTTTGTTGGCTGTGACTGGTCAGAATATTTTTTCCTGGAGAAATCTGAGCTATGAAGCTCCTTTTCACAGATGTCCAGTAGGGACGGGTCAAAGTTTCCAACAACACAATACAAAAACTATAGCAGTATGAAGTGTAGGAAAGCAAATGAATACATAAACTAAAGTACTATTTATTCTCAAGTCCAAGCCATTGCTTTGTAGGAAAGGCGTCTTCTGGTCCAACACCAGTGGAGACCAGGCTCTAAGAAAGCCGTCTCGGGTGTGGACCAATCAATTTCAAGGACCGTACATATCATCAGAGTTGTCTCTTTTTGTTTGCATTTTGACTGCTTGTGTTGTGGTTATTGCAAACATGATCCCTTGTATAAAGGTGTCGGTTTTGGTGCCAGATAAAAGGGTAAAAACCTATTACTATATCTTGCTACTGGCGAAGGAGGTCTTATAATGTAAAGGTTTAGGTGGGTTTCAAGGTACCCAGGAGATGACTGTAAAATACATGGTTTCATGAGCCCATCTGTTCAGAGCTCTTATGCAGGTTTCATTTCTATGCATGAACTTCTTTTGCACCTTACATAGCCAACCGTGCTTAACGGAGGTGCGGACGGCAAACTAAACACAAACATTGTGAAGTGCTCCAGGTTTCTCCCACATGCGAAACAATGAAGAATGGAATTGATCAAATAACCCAATTCAGAACACTCCTGAAAGTCTTGAGGCTCTCGGAGGCTTTCCTCTAAAGAAAATCGTTTCTATCGCATTGAAGTAATACTCGGAAAAATAACACGATTCACAGCCGTTTATCAATCTTCTGTACCTTTTTGGATGAAAGCCTCCTTGTCATGCTCATCCTAGTTTGTTTGACAATCCTTCACCATACTGGATACTGAGAGTTTGTGGCAATAGAGGCTCAGAACAGCTTCAGATATCACTTGCCACTGATGTTAGCCGTGGCCAGGTTATCACGGTCAAGGCACAGCAAGCTAACCGCTGAAATCTAGCGCTCTCCCACCTGCCACCCTTTGTATGATTGTATAAAGTGTCGCATCTGACTTGCAAATCTGTCCTGAACCCAGTGCAGTATCTGTCTATGGGTGAAGCCTGTCGATTTGAAATAGACGTTCAAGTGTCTGATCTTCTCATGCGGAGCAATGTATTATTAATGCGCGTGTACATTCAATTTCTCGATCTAATGTTTCAAAGGCAGATTGTGCTTTGTTTTAACTGGTAATGTTTTCTCCCTAGATGTTCACATGAAACATTTTCACATCTGCCTATATTGCAGTCCCCAGCAAGTTTGTGCGGCGTTGGACACGTGTCGGAGCATCCTGTACGTTTTAACTTAATTTAATATTTGTATGTTCACGTATCGCATTGTTTTTTTTCTTTCAGGGAGATTCTGGCGGGCCTTTGATCTGCAATGGCGCATTGAATGGAATAGTTTCCTGGGGCTATGGTTGTGCATATCCCAATTACCCCGGTGTCTACACTAAAGTGTCAAACTATATCACGTGGATAGAGAATACAATTGCAAATAATATGTAACATTTCGTAAAGCGACATGCACATTGACCTTCCGCTAGACCTGTTTTGTGGGGTGTGCCACTTGCCTCTAATTCTGAGTCCTCCTTCACCCTTCTATTGTAGGCGAGTTTAAAGACTTTAACACGATGTACAGTTTCGAATTCGACACTTGAACCTCCTTTAAAATGTATCAATGATTGCTTCAAGGCTTCTCCCATTTATTTGAATGGCATTAAACGCTAAATTGTGCTTCATGTAGCCCTACCATGCTTACATGTTAGATCAGTCGAGCTTTTGGCAAGCAGATCCAACTAAGTATAAATATAAATAGTACTTTAACTGAGCTTTACTCTTACATTTTACCTGTCACGTTTACAAATACATTTTTCAGAACTTACGTTTTCAAATGTTGGGCTGTTTTAATGGTTCTGTTTGTATTGAAGTTTACAATCTCCTTGTTTGGCAAAAATGTGAAAATAAATTGACCTTAAAATATGGTTGAAAAGCACTTTTTCACTTTAAGGTAACTGATTTAAACTTGACCACAAATGTTTAACGCTATTAAAAGAATTACTCGCGTTTCTCTTCTGCTGGTTAAGCAACAATGAGATGGTAGTGTGTTTTCCTCGTGCCCACGTATTTCACACCATGCATTTTTTTTCCTCCCAAGTTAACTTTATAGACAACTTTAAAAATACCATACAGTAGTTTAAGCTAGGTAAATCTACAAATGTAATGAGCGACTTCCGCGACACGTCGTGTAGAGGGTACATCTTTATTCTTATACGGGCACAACACAGGGCCAACCTTATCTTCTCACTCTGAGTACAACTCTTTGTTAGCGTCTCGACTGGCTACACACACACACGGCCCATCACTCGGCTACGCAGCTGGCTGGCGGCGTGTCGAGGAGGGTGATGGAAGCCCGCAGGAGATCTTACACGTGGCCGGACGACGGAGAGAAGTGACGGCAAAAAAGATGCCCTCGTATAGCCTTCACAGATTAGGTGACAAGTGCTGTTAGCGAGAACTAAATGAATGCTGGCACTTGCAGACGAGGGGGAATGGGTGGCCAGCACCCTGCCTGGCCAGCACCCTGCCTGGCCACCTTCCTCTCCCCAGTTGCAGTGTTTACACACTGCACCAGGTACTCTCTTGAGGCTGAGTCGACCTAGAGGAGGCCTAGGACTGCTTAAAATGTTCCACAAATTCACTTGGTATGTTCGAGATTTCATTGCAGGAAATGCGCGTTTCTAAACGCCCCATCCACCCCGTGTCCATCACGGCATTGATAATAGTTTGTTCTGTTTTTCATATGAACGTCTTGCACGCCAGGGCATCTCTGCGCTTTACATTGCTGTATCTCATGCATTTGTCAGGGGGAGGGGCCCCCTGGCTTGCAGTCGCGCATTGGTCTGCCAGTAAAGGGGTAGAGGTGTGAGGAGGCGTGGGGATGATTACCTCCTAATTTGTGGGTCCTTTTCAGATTTGGCAAAATTTGAGCTCAAGATTTGAAAGTCCAACGTGTTGACCAACATTTATTCAGCAAATGCCTCGACCATGACGAATCTCCCTTGCTTTTCGGTGAAGAAAAATGTACATGTCTAAATACTATCTTGCTCATTTCAACCATGCAGTTCAGTATTCTGTCATTTTTTAAAAGAATGGGTGATTTGTTTTATAGACACCCTTTTATGTAGTATCCGAAATATGCAGCTATTCAGTCTGCTTATCCAGTTAAAGTTATTGTTTTTTTAAATACTCTAACCTTGCTTCCATTTAAATATATGCATTTGAAGTCTAATCAGATAAGGTTCAGTTTTGAAAATGGAACTTTGATTTACTGAAATGGTTATTTAAATGACAAACAATAGTAGGCTTGATAAAAAAATAACTGACCATATAGCAAGATAAGCGGGCAATTTATAAGATGAATATTCTTAGTTTACACAATCTGATGCATGGTCACGTATATACAATACATTGCTGTATATTACCTTACAGCCATTAAGTACTTACAGAACTTTCCCATGCTGTACCTAAACCACATGGTACACTGCTTACACATCCATACATTTATTTCATTTGCTGTGATCCAAGAGATTTCATTTGTTTTCCTCGTTTCAGAAATTATTTTCATCTGTACAGCAGTTATTACAACCTAATTGCTGAAGATGTTATCATTTATTTTTTCCCTCGTGCATATTACCATAAACCAACAAGACATTGCTTTGAAACTAACCTGCCTAATGTTTGTGTTGCCAGCAATTGTGGGCGGAAAAAAGCTAATTAACTTTTCAGATACGGTGATTAAACTTAATTATTTGTTTTGTAATAAACGTACGCTCGGCGAAGATTGTGAGGTCCTTTGCCTTGGTGCATGTAAGGACAGCGCTATTGGGTAGGGTTGCCACCTGGCCTGGTTTTGCCAGAATTGTCCTCGTTGAGGCAGCGGTCCTGGCAATTCTAAGTGCTCCTGGGACCTTTAAATGCCCCTTTTGTCAGCTGCAAGATGATACACCATGCACGGACTGCATTTGCGTCTAGTTCTCCCGAAATTGAGATGTATTTTTTTGCTCGCAGCGTGTGCTATGATTTTGCACCTCAAGAGGTGGCAACCCTAGTTGTGGTGTGTTCATACATCACAGCGGAACCTGCACTTCGCTTTCACGCTGGGCTCGGCCCAAAGTGCTTTCAATGAGGGCGTCCCCGCCACCCATCTGTGATGAACACAGGTAAATCAAACGGTTCGCAATAAATGTTGAGATCTAGCCATGATATAATGGCAGCCCTATGTAATAACATTACTTTCCCCGGCTGATTAGGTTGACAAATTGATGTCGAGAATAAATTTCCTTCCATGGGCAATGCCTCCCGACTCGCATGTTCACCCAATCTGCCGGTGCTTACCCAGCCTCTTCTCATATGCGTGGAAATAAGATAATTGGGAAAAGTCTACTACTCGCCAAGATATTCTTACACATGATGTACACGCTCAAAGCCTTTTGTGAACCCGTTGCCGGCTGAAGACCTCGCCACGTTGTATGGACCATACTTCACCACGCTGGTCCGTGAACGCAGGCAGCGGAGCTGCAAATGGCATCCAAGCACATCACTGGATTTTGTGGCACTGTCCTCTGCTGCCCAACGCGTAGCGCCACACGCTCTTACTGCATTGCTTAGTCAAGACATTTGTCGTGATGCGTTAGCAAGCCGTGCACGAATGTGAGTTTTGGTTTGTATCGCTCAGTTGAGTGTCGCCCCTCGAGCGACGGGTTTAAACTGCTTGTTACGATTTTTTAATGCATTTTAGGTGCTTTAGTCACGGATTAAATGCATTGGTTTCATAATTGTCTCATAATTTGTTTCTGCAAAATGATGCATTCCTGAAGCTTGTACAAAATAGAATGCAACAGGTCACATTTAAAATTGATTTACAGTCTACATAGATTACACAATTCACCCAGACTAGGTATGGTATGCCAATCTTTGAGATGAGTTAATTTCTTATTAAGCTGATGTCCGTTAGTTCCAAACTGGTGAGCGTTCTCGGAGGAAAAATATGAAATGATTACAGAAATGTTTGTAACGCCGACGGGTGTACTTTGCTGCGTCACTGCCACCAGGGGTCTCATGAGCTGGCATTTGGACAACTTGCAAGCCTTTTACAAAATAGACGACCGCTAATTTTCTCATCAAACGCCAACCCTGCTTTGAATTACTGCATTGTACACAGGGACATCTTTAAAGTACAACGCTTAGATGTTTCCAACTTTTTGAGCTTCAAATGTAAAAAAAACAAATCATCTGGAATTGCGCTTAATGAAATATTATAATTCTGTGCCGTGCGTTAGATTCCTGCAATGGAAGGAGTCTTCAGATAGCTTTTTAGCATGAATTATTAACCTGTGGAGTCGTGGTCACCAATATGATTTGGCAAGTGGCATTATTAATCAGGTTGAATGTTGTAATGTATGGATTTACATATACAAAGTGCTGCAGTCTATACCGCATATAGTATATAAAAAGGGTAGGCTAGCTCTGATTAAACATGTCCTCACCTTTTATTCAAGTCACTTGCACTATATATAAAAAAACATTTCCACTGAAAATCCAAAGCAATCCGTCATTATCATGCCATTTGACATTGAAGGCTTCGGTGGACGCACAGTACAGTACTAAAATGAGGCACTGGTAGGGTGGTCGGCAATATTAAAATTTTCTAAAATTTTCATTTTAGAAAATGTGTATCATACCGTATGACCTAATGAGTTACTCCCATGGTTATAATTCATACATACGCTAAAGTAAACTGTTTAATAGTTATATTCTATTAAGACTGAACTCTATAATTGAGTGAATTCATACACAGTGAATTAAATTCCTAAGATAAGTGTGCTTTAAAATATAAAAGTGCATAAGACGGTTGGCAGCTCCTTTGTTGTTATAGCCTCAACCAAAGCTTCTACGATTCGGCATTATTTTGGGATATCCTCACAACAGAGGTGCCCTATATCCATAATGCTATTTTTTCAATTCAAGTGGTTTTTTTTTCGATTTAAAGCTTTCGTGACTGCAAGGATTCATCTTATTTGGTTATTTCGGTAAAGTCACGTAGAATGAGAATAAGCTCTGTCGTCCCGACAGTTCTGTTCTTTCACCTGAAGAAGGCTGCTTGTGTTGTGGCCGAAACGTCGTGAGAATTTTATTGTGTTATTTTATTATTTTATTGTTTTATTCTCATTCTACGTGACTTTACCGAAAGAACCAAATAAGATCAAGTGTTTTTGTTTTTGCATATAGCTGTGACTGACACAAACTAGTGTTTTACTTTACATTACCTTACACATGCAATGTAATGAAGTGGCCCGCAGTGGTAACGCACCACACTATCACAGTACTGATCTGAGTTTGATTCCTCGTCACGGCTAACACGAGCACGTTATATCTAAATCGTTATTGGACTCCCTCGTTTTCATCAAACGGCACCGATCGGTATGGTGACTTATGCAGTGCCGGATCAAGCTCGTGCTGGGCCTGTAGCATATGTTATAAAGAGGCCCTAAATGAATAAAAAAAACACGTAAATATTAAAACACATTTTTTTCCTTGCATCGTAAAGTAATTGTATTTTTTCATTTGCTATACAGCCAGATAATACGACAAATCGCTAACCTTAAACACCCAGTCGTACATAGAAGTTGAAGGCAGTATAGTACTATAGTAATAGAGCAAGTGCAGAATCACTGAATCGGAATTGACAGCTTGTAAGCGTTTAGCGCGGGGCCCTTGAAAGTGCGGGGCCCGTATCACCTGTAGCTACTTATGCTCCGAGGATAATCCGGCACCGGACGTATGTTCACACAAGCCCGAAAGACTGACAATGGCATCAGGAGACATTCATCCCGCAGTGGATGGACTAAACGAGGCATACATAATTATCGCAGCAGGAGGATTTCTCCACAACTCTGGCTGTTTGCCTGATGATGCTTGTTTTAATTACCGGCGCAACGTCGCACTCCAATAGTAAATGTTGTGGGCTTACGCTCCAACACACACACACCGGTGTGCTGAACTAAAAACACATTACTGGCATGTTTTCTTTACGTGACCAAACCCCTTACTAATTGGCTGCGTGAGCGGCGGGTTTAACGACACATTTACGCGATCTCACCCAAAAAAATATCCATTACGAATAATTACCGTCTTACGAATTTAGCAACGCAGCGCGTGCAGGTTGAGAGACATGAAGGAACTTCGCGTGGCAGTTGTGTTGCGGATAAGTCGATGTTTGTGCGAGTCCCCTTCCACCCACGTCTCCCATCGCCCGACTCCCCTCTTCATCGTCTGTTAATGTCATGCACATGACGGCCACCCCCGCAACCTCACACACAATTGACCCGTTGCTATTCCTTTTAGCGCGTGTAAAAATAAAAGAGAGCCGTGGTGGAGCTTTAAGCGCTCACATCGTTTTTGTTGTTGTTGTTGTTAAAGGTAATGTATTCATCAAATGACACCCAGAGGCAACCGCGTCACTACTCGGGGTGTATATTTAAGCAGGAACACACCTTCGGCTATGAGTGGTGGGCCTGTGGGAGGAGGAGGGGGATGTTGGGAGACGTTTCGGCTCTCTGGATGTTGCATGCGCTGCGCCAAGTTCACTCCAAACTTTGAAAAAAAACGAATGAACAAGACTTCTTGGGAGAGCAGTGCATTCGTCGGAACAAAAAAAGGTAAATGCGGCGAGCAATTTGGGTAATACGCGTGCAGGGAAAGTTGGTTTGGTGAGAAACGTGCTACGGTTTGTTTTCCGTTCTGTATCACGAATGTTGAAAAATCAAACGCGTGTTATTCCGTTGAGAACACGTTATTGTTTTGTTTGTATAAATTATTGGCTACTGCGGTTTGCAGTCTGAATTTCAAGTTTTTTTTTATTTATGTATCGGTGTTTGACAGCTGCGTAATGCGATCACCGAGACTGCTGCAGCTCGTTAACGTAGTTGTATGATTATTACAACATCTTGGGTTTTTTTTTTTCATTTTGGTGTTGGAGATTGTTTGAGCATTTTGTTTTAAAGTGAATCCTCTTATTTGCATTTCGAATGTTCTCAACAATACTGTAGCATACACTCTTGTGATATACAGCCTAAATTCACGATGGATTGCCTACACACTTTTGAACTTGTTTCCAACTGGAAGCTGTGAGTTGTTATGCCTGTAATTAAGCTGGATGATGACTAATTTGTACTTGGTGGGTTAAGTGAAATGTAGTTAATTCATATTTGCATTGTTTTTTGTGACATGGCAATGTACATAAAATAGTTGTAGCTCTGCATATGATTGCTCACGCCACTACCTGCAGAAGGGCATGCACTAGAGGAAGCTAGAGAGAGTCTCTGTCGAGGATAGTTTGGCCTTCTCTTCCACATTGGGCAAATGTTTCAGTCGAGTTTGGAGTACCCACACTTTTACCCACCATACGCAACCCGTCATGTAGCTAACTGTCGGTGTAACTATTCATACTGCTTGGTGGATATCAGCGAAGGGATTTGGGAATCTGTTACATTGTTTTAGCTGCAGCGCCGCAAGAGTGACTTCATAAACTCTGGATTTCAAGTCCAGTGTGCTCACCATTACACCAATATACTCAAAAGTTAAATTAATTCCCCCGTAGACTGTGTGTGTTTCCACACCCACGCGCTTGAAGTGTATTCACTGTGAACACGACAGTTCACGTGTAAAGGTGAGCCGCTGTCACATTCCTGGATTGTTTTCCCCCCATTGGATTTATTTCTCGAACAAATGAATGAAGCGCCGGTCGCCACATGTTCACATAGATAACAATCTCGCATACCAAGCCTAAAAGCTTAACAGAAGCCGTTTGCTGATTTCACTCTATCTTGGGTGGCCTTCTCTTAACACACACAAAGACACACGCAGGCACAATGGAAGCTGCACACGAGTCTTCGTGTGTCTGTGAAATGATGATATCTGAAGCAGTAAAATATTGTAAGCAGGTCAAATCTCTGTTTTTGTTCTCAGCACCATTGGCGAGTTGCCCTGAACTTTTCCAAATAAGTGGTCTTACTTGCTCTTATATGAACGCCACCTATGCCCAATTGGTGGATACTTGTGCATGCTGTATGGATGTTTAGAAATGCATGTTTTAACTTTAAATAACAGTTTCTGTGAGGAAGTGGAAAAATGCTAAACAAATGTAACGGTATGCTTATTGCCCGTGCGCAGATTTAAATGTTCCAGTGAATCCATAATCTTAAAAAAAAAATTGCAATGGGTAATGCATCCATCACTCAAATTGTGATGGAAATTGATTTTAAAATCAGCCCCAGATCATCTGATATACATATCGCCTGCCACTTGTTTCGTTTAGAGGTCATACTGCTGCTGCGCCAGAGAATGGATCGAGTTGCCAATTCCACTTCTCCAACTTGTGCCAAATAATGCATACTAATTGCATAGTTGATTGTGCACCTAAAGTTTTCAGTCTCCTTGAAAATGTGTCCCTGCAGTGTATAATTCACGTAAACATATTTATAAGAGGTTTATAAAAAAAAATCCTTTGGTTATTTTTTTTTGTCAGGGATGACTTTGCTTGTTAATCAGCAATTTTAATACCGTTTCTTTTTCCTTGAGCGCAGGCATAAATAAGTTTAGCTCGTCTTGCCTCCTACGCGCGCGTTTGAGATGACGAACTTCTTTGTGTGGGCTTTATAACCACAGTGGCGTTATAGAAAGGTACATAGAGTTTTATGTCCAATTCAAATGTGATGTCCACAATTCGGCGTCACAGTGTGTGCCCTATTCGCTAATTAGTCCTGAAATACGTGTGCACTAATCACGTTGACTCTGCAGGAGGAAAGTTTTGCCCGGAGAGGTTCTCGAAAGCGATGCTACAATGAGCTGAAAACGCAATTAATGTTGCTCGTTGTGTGTTGTAGAGTAAATTTGTGGCTACTCCCACTGCGTCTAAAATAGCTAGGCCAGTGCAGAATAGGTGGACTAAAGTATCTTATATATTAAATATAAGATTAAGTATCTTTCATCTTTAATATGGTAGATATCTTATATTTTTTAATATTCTATCATATTATTAAAGTAATATTATTGAATTAACATGATTAAATACGACTATATCATATAATACAATAAATTATAATATTATTACAATAATACTATAATATCATTAAATACGGTAGGTGTCTTATTGAATAAATTATCTTCTTGGTTCTTTCGGTAAAGTCACGTGGAATGGAACTAAAATAATAAAAATAAAACAATACAAATTTATTTTATTAACCAAGAAGATGAATCCCTGCAGCCACGAAAGCTTTAAATCGAATTCGAATAAAGTATCTTATATCGTAAATATGGTAGGCTAAAGTATCTTATGTAGAGGGTCCCTCTGAAGCACCCTCTGACGGAGGCCGCTCTTGTCAGCAGTGGTGTGAGCAAGCAATTGCAGTGCTGCACCTTTGCCTCTGCCATTTTTTTTAAAATGGAAATAACTTCAGTGGCTTTTGGTTGAAAATGTGACTGTGTGATTGGACCATTGCGTGGTTGTTCAGTTCCAGATGTGTGCCTTGGCTAGCTGTGCAATGATTGCCCTTTCCTTGTGTAGACGATACTCGTTTCTTTCGGGTCAATGTTTGGTTAGAATTAACCTAAATTACACTGGCGTTTTGTGTATGCATAGGTGTAAACCACGACAAGTAGACTCCCGTTTTGTACGGATTATTTGTATTGATCCTTGCTGGCTTAAAAAAAGAGGCAAAAGCACATGTTATTTACATGTTAGGGGGGTGAGGTGGGGGTGGCGAGATTCACCAAAGTAAAATTCTACGCTTATCCATGTATACTTAGAGGCTGACAAGTCAGAAGGAAGAGTTGTTTGACATTCACAATGTAACGTTGACATGTCACGGGGGGCTGATTTTACACACAAAAAACCCTCTCAATGTAAGAATGTTTTTTGTCATGTCTAGACTATCTCAAGCAAGCGTAGTTTGTAAATAGCTGAAATTATCCTCGGCAGTCAACTTTTTTCATCAGTGATAGAGGTTTTTTTTGGGTTAGCTCGCGTAAATATATAAATGTGTCGTTAAACCCACCGCCACCCGACACAGCCAGCTAGTAAGGTTTGTCACGTAAACAGAACGTGGCCAATTCGTCACTAGTACAGCACACCGGTGTGTTGGAGAGCCAAGCCACAGTCGTTTACGTGACAACCCTTACTAGTTGGCTGTGTCGGGTGGCGGGGGGTTTAACGACACCCAAAAAAACCCTCTTATGGATGATATTGGTCGCGAAAGCCTACGTGTTAAACCAATTTCTTTCAGATTGTGCAAACTGTGACACCTTTGTGTTCTCCTGGCTGTGATGCATTGAATTGATGTGAATATTTGACTGTTTTGTCATCGTCATCAAAACCAGCTACGGATCTGTCCACATTGGGATGAAACCCTCCCCATGACGTTGCCATTCATCATGCTCTTGTGATGCCACAATGCAGCTTGCTCATTTGCATGTTCCTGATCTCAGTGCAACATCTCTGCGGCAGGCATCTTCAAGGGTGTGTTTCCTCCTCTGCCTCTAATTCTGTCACCAGCCTCACCCACCCATCTGCTATCGTCTCTTACAAACAATTATTACTGCCAAAACCCACTTTTCTTGATGAGTCAAATACGATATATATTTTTAATAACTTGTGTTTGACCTCTAATTCACGTGTCCATCTGGCTGGGTGTCTACGAGCTCAGATAATGGGTTCCAATCTTGATTTCGGCCACCTGTGCTTAAACCCGGGTTTCCAAATGCGGCGAGTTGATGATGGTCTCAGTCCAGTCACCGATTAGCACGATTGTGTAAAGGATGAAAGGGCCACTATGACACATGGGCACAGCGTCCCGTGTGATTTATAAACAGATTCTTTGTTTCATAACATGATGCATTTGAAAAAAACCCACAATGTATGGCATACAATAACAGCCTCAAGTTTACACATCGAACAGTCGTCTTTAAATTGTCCATCTAGATTAAGAAATTAATGTTGCTGTTACCATTATATTTTCCAAAATGAAGCCGTTGGTTTAGATAAGGGGGGAAATTTCAATGTGTTTACCCATTGCATTAACCAAACACTTCTCAAAGGGAGATCAGAGCTGAGTTTGAGGTATTTGCCTCTCTGCCTTCCGTTTGGCAATTACACTCAATTCCTGGCCACTGCAAACGTCAGTGACTAAATGTAGTCCCTTGACAAATGTTAAAGCGTGGAGCCTGTATTTTCAACATTCTCCTGGACTACCTGCATTTCCCTCATGCTAATACATTTTTAAAAGTAGAGTTAAGGTCATGTATGCATTGCTTGAGATTGGGTACGTACAAAAGGACAATGAGTTATGTTTAACGCCTCTACTTGCCATTAATATTTATTTAGAACTTTGTAAATAACTTAATCTCCCCAAGCCACAGCCATCCCTTGTGATGCAACGAACCATCTAGCTCCGGCACGCAAGTGGCCTTGATCCCGCAGCGGCGGATAAATGAGGGCCGATGATAACGTTGATGACGATTTCTCGTCTCCCCCCGAGTCCACTCACATTCTTCGCTTCGTGTGCATTCGAATGAATGGAATGTGCGCAGCCGTTTGAAGTTCGGGCGACATGGAGTGGGCTCGCACGTGCCTCCTGCTCGTCCTGACGGTTGGTGCTGCTCTGTCGGATGAGTCCACCTCGGAGGAGCAACGCGCAGGTAAACGGAGCTTCATTTGCAAGGAAGCAGGGCCGCTGTGGGAGCAGCTACACGCTTACTACGACGCTGTTCCGGGAATCATTTTAGCACACCACGTCCATTTCGCATTATTGTGTTCTCATAATACTTACAAAACCTGGTTATAGGATTATAGGAATATCGATTACAATAATGTAGGATTATTATGGATACTTGTACATTATACCCTAGTCGTCGTGCCTTTGCCAATAATCCCTACGCCCAAGCCATCCATTCAGCGTCCCAGAGAATATTTATTGAGAAATTAAGCCCCACATTTACATAGGTGTCTATGCTTGTGCTGTATAGCTCTCTGATGTGTTTTTTTCTGTATTACTGCATGTTGTTTGGAATTATGCCAGTCTATTTAATCCACATGCTGGGAGCTTCTTCAGAAACTTAATTGAACAGCTACGCGTACTCTCTCAATTATGTAGCGTTAACCACCTGTTGTGTGTTTGATGTAGGCCAGCTGATGTTCATTACAGTAGCTATCGACACTTGTAAGCTCAATGTTTTTATTAGCATTTTTGTCAATAGCACACTTAGTTGTGGTCTTTTAAATGAGCTCTGGCTGACATTGGTTATTGATGAGACTGAACCACTGCGTAAGACATAAAATATTCACGTACAATTCCCTGAATGGGAAAAAAACTGCCGACTTTGACTTTGAGACAAAATTGCCAATAATCTATGCACTGCTTCAGCAAGGGTCCATGCAGTTTTGAACAGAAATTAGTTTGAAGCGACCTTGCATGGATTATTAATTATTTAGCTTTTCATGTGCATGAAAAAAGCGACCACTAGTTAATTTGTCAACAGCAAGACCAACTGGGAATACTACTTAACAATAGAATCCCTCTGCCACGACTACAAATAAGTTCTTAGCGCATGTCACATTATTCACATCTTTTATAATTGGGATAGTTTATTTCCCAATTAAACATCTTTTGCCAAAACAATGTGAGCTGGGTAAAGTGCTAATGTGTCCTTTGAACAATGAAAAACACAGTTGTCAGAATATACTCTGAAGCTTTCTTTAGAGTCAAGTTCAAGCTAATGAGTTGTTGCTAATCTGAGGCTCAAAAGAAGAGGGTGCATTTTTTTTTATTACTCTTGGTGCTGTGTAATCGAGCGAGACTAAATAAAAGCAAAAATCCCTGCAAGTCAGTTCTCGTTCATGCTTGCTTGTTGTTTTTTTCGTAGTTGTAGAAATCTGAGATTTCCCCACACCTCCGATTAGCACGGTTGGCTACGTACGGTGTGAAAGAAGCTCAACAAACATACGTACATATTCATTTATCTAATCGCACGTCTGCGATCAGCCACCAAATCCCTGCTCGTAACTCCCGCCGACCAGAACCCTCATGGCCGGCAGTGCATCTGGAGTCGCCTCTCCATCGGCCTGGAACGCTCTGCCGGATGATCTTTGATCCCACCCCATCTCACAAAGAGTTCAATAAGCGCTTGACAATCGTCGTTGTTTCGCGTGGCCTTTGGGACTCGGATCGAAATCCACCGGCGCCTGCACACTCGAAGCATCACCACAGGCCTTGGGACTTGTGGCATTGCCTCTGAAATCTGGAGCTGGCAAAATAAATGTGCTCATTACTGTATGTTTACAATCATTTTCAGCCATGTTCATCCCTTGCTGGATGAAGCCCTTCTCATGATCTTGCATTTTTTTCTCGTGATTAATACTTTTATCAGTACAACTGCTCGTTATCTTCAGTGCGTTACAGTACCACAGAGTAATTGTCAACTATTTATTTTAACTTTAATCAAGCCCATTGATTATACTTATGATCATCGTGATTTCTTTCATTTCCGATTCAATATCTAAAGTATTTGTTTCCACATGTGATTGTGGAAACGCGTCTATATGGAGGGAGTGCTGGCATGTCTGAAGATTTCACTCTCTGGGCTAGCATCGCACCCTCAATATCTGAAATTGTATCATTAATTGCCATTAAATAATAATTGTTATTATTATTTTGAGTCATTGGAATAGACATTAGCACTTGATTAGGAGTGCCATGCGATAGATGGCGGAAACGTCTTAATTTATTTTCTAGATATTTTTCTTTCAAATGTTCTCATCGTCAGTGTAAAATGAGATTATCAGTCGCTATATAATTGTCATGGCCTTCCTAAACTGCAATAAAACACACGGTACTCTGTATAATAAAACCTTATCCACAACTCTCTGCAATGGCAAACCGGGGGTACAGGATATCCAATTGCCCCTGTGAAAAATTACATTGCAAAAGTGTCTCAAAATAATACACCGACTCGTCCACAAATAAGTGGCAATAAAAGTCGTTTGTTTGCCCTTTGTAAACTGCAATAACAAATGGCCAGAACTGCACTATAATAATATGTCATTGTGCCTGTTTTGGGTCAAATGACACGTGATGGGTGGCTAATGATGGGTCACTTACCTCTGCAGGCCAAATGGGCCAATTTCCACGTGATAACCAGCTATTCACTGGCTCGGGCTGTCTATACTCGTTTTTTAGCACGTTTTTTTAAAGTCTATCCATAGGAAAAACACTGTTGACTACCCACAAAGTGGTAACTATTTTACCAACCTCTGGAGGGATGATGGGCTGGGGCAACCCCAACGTGGAATTAAACTCTCACAAGTTTCCGATTGCAAAACTGGCTCACTCAACAGTCGAGTCACCCCTTTCTGCATGTTTCTGAGCCTGTATAACGCGGAGATGTATTTCGACGAGGTTTTTTTTCCCTTCTTTTTACAAAGATAACACTGCAAACCTTAAAATGATTGCGGGAAGTATTTGTAACGCTGCAAGTGTGTTGACAAAATTTCCACATGACAGGCCATCTTAGAGAGATCATTGCCAAGTACGAGAGAGCGACCATTGCTCTTTCAATCCTGCTGACACCACGGTGACAATTTGTCAGTAATAACAACTCCGGCTGGTCTCTAAAGCTTGAGAAGCTGCGAGGTCCTTCTAATCCTCAGTTAAAATACCAAATGTTGCCATCTTCATTTTAATTTTCATGGATTTTTCTTAGTTTCGTACTCAATAATGACAAGAATACTAGTTACCGATGCAATAAAAAAGATGAAAGTGTTAACGTTGATCTCGCATACTCTAATTCATTCATTCACAGCATTTAAAAGATTGGCGTCTTTGAAGTTATTTCCTTAATTTTCAAGCCGCATATGGAAACAATTATAACAGAGTAAAAAGTGCCCTGCAATACAGATGGCATGTTTAATCAGCAGCAAGTCTAATAACCTGCCAATTTGTATGCATGGAGTGATGCCAACTTGATTTTTGTTACAAAATGGGACCTTTTTTGCCAGCATCAAAGTATGAAAAAAATAAAGAATAGGTTTTACCCTTTCTGGCAATAAAACAGGTGCTAAGATGTTCCAACATCTTAAGAGTATCACACTTTGATACTGGCAAAAAAGGTCCCATGATGTAGCTGCTCGCCCCGAGCTATAAATGATCTGATAGTGGCATTGTCTTTGTGCTGTTCGCCTTTTGGCGTTCTCTGGTCTGACACCGGTGAAGCTAGGCCCTAAAGAAGGTTGTCTCTGGTTTCAAAGACAATTCGTATATTATTATCGGAGCACGTTTGTTTGCACGTTCACCACAAGTATTGTGTGTGGTTAATGCGAACTTGATTCCTTGCAAAAGGTTTCGATTTGGTGTTTTGAACATTTTAAAACCTCCTGTTTCATTGCCAGAAAGGTTAAAACCTATTGTTATTTTTTCATGTAGATTTTTTTTTTCATTAGCTTTAAAAAAAGTTTTAGTAACAAAGGGGTTATAGGGGGCGGAGTGTTGTATGGAGACAAAGATAAAAAAAAACAAGAATGACAACAAATACCAAATGGTAAATTACTTGCACCGGTTGTTTCTCTCTCTCTCTCTGTTCGAGTTATACCGCGTATTGTCCGGCATCTCCAAGCAAATGGAGCGAAACGTCAGACATCATGCCGCGCAACATACAATACAACCCAAAAACGCACCTCTTAGAACTATACAGCAAAGACAAAGACCCCCCGTGTAGCCTTAACAGACTGTAGGGGCAAGCGCTGTTAGCGAGCACCTATTGAAAGCCGCAACGGCACACGAGGGGGTGGGTGGCCAACACCACGCCCGTCCGCCTTTGTCTCCCCAGTGGCGATGTTTACACATCGCACCAGGCACTCATTTGAGGCTGAGTCGACCTAGGGGAGGCCCATGAACGGGTTAGATAATCGTCACTGGTGTTAGCCGTGAGCCCCCACAACTATACAGCACAACCACAGAGGCTGGCCAATACCATGAATGCACACGGAACTGAGGAATTAGGCAGGTCAGTCCATCCTCTCTTCATCGACCTTCTCTTCACTCGTCACGCTGATGTACCCACAAAAGACACAGATTCCTCATACAGCCTCTTTAGCCTCTGTAGACTGTTGATGTTATTTTAGACTGTCGGGGCAAGCGCTTTTCGTGAGTGCCTATTAAGGATGATACGACACTCAAGGGTGTGGCATGTCCCGAGCCAGTGCTGGTATTTTACAATCATTTCAGACTGAGTTGACCTAGACGAGGCCCAGAATCAGTTCAGTTGTCACCCGCCACTGGTGGTGTTTGCCGTGGCTGGGAAACGGATTTGAATTTCTGGGTTCATACAGCAGTGCACTAACCACTGTGCCACTGCTCACCAAACTGAATGACATTTGCACACACACACACACCAAACCTTTGATTAGCAAGTGCTTTCTTTTTTAAAGCATCAGGTTACCATTCGTTTGCACGGAAACGTTGTGGCAAGTATGCTTGCGTGCATTTCATTTTTTTTGACACCGTTGACTTGTGGTCAATTTTCCAATTTGCTTCAGTTAGTTTGTAATTCTCATGGCCAAAGGTTGTGAGGTCCGCCTGGAGTCTGCTATGTTGGCGGTGTGCTGGCGTTTTGTGTGGAAAGCTGTGCCTCGCAAGGGCGGCTACCGAGTTATTCTGTCATTTTATCACTTCAACGGAAATCTACTCGTTGTGTATGAATATGTAGACCAACGATACACCAACTAATCAACATGAACTAAGCATACAAGTTGCTATCACCAGTTATTAAAAAAATAATATTCCAAAAACTGTATATATAATTGCATTGAATTGATGGCTTATGACTATACTTATGGCATAATTACATGGTGCAAACTTGGAAAACAGTAAAGGGACATCCGTACATGAGGGGTAATTGAAGCGTATACTTAGATGGTTATGGCTTTTGAAATCACACTTCAATCCATGCGATGACCAATGCCTGCACCGTTCGTGGGCATCTGGCACATTGGTGGAAGACGCGCCACTTTGACCGCATTTGATTTCGCAAAACCGAGTTTTCCTTGTTTCTTCCCCAGGCTGCAGCACGGTTCCTCACGACCTCGTCTTCATACTGGACGGCTCGTGGAGCGTGGGGGTGTCCAGCTTCCACACGGTCAAGGACTGGCTCGTCAACATCACCAACAGCTTCGAGGTGGGGCCCAGGTACACGCAGGTCTCCGTCGTGCAGTACAGCGACTCGCCGAAGCTGGAGGTGTCCTTCAGCGACCGCGCCTCCGCCGACCGGGTCGTCTCGGAGATCCGCTCCATAGGCTACCTGGGCGGCAACACGCACACGGGCAAGGCCATCAAGTTCGCCATGGACGAGGTGTTCGCCTCGTCGGCGCGGCGCGGTTCCGACGTGGCCAAGACGGCGATCGTCGTGACGGACGGCAAGTCGCAGGATAACGTCACGGTGCCCGCGCAGGAGGCCAGGGCGAGCAGGATCACTCTCTTTGCCGTCGGTGTGGGCTCGGCGGCCGAGGAGCAAGAGCTGAGGAACATCGCCAATCACCCGCCCTCCACCTACGTCTTCTCGGTGCAAGACTACGACTCCATCTTCAAGATCAAGGAGGTGCTGAAGCAGAAGATTTGCGAGGGTGAGTCCGGGAGCAGATTGCCGAAGCGTCAGTCTCGCCGTGCGCTCACGTTAGCAATGGAGGAGAAGGAGGCCTTGGACGGATTCCTGAGGTGGATTCATTAAAATCCACTCACAGTTGTGTCAATTTGCGCTAGATTCATATTGTATTAATTAATAATTTACAACAGCTATCATGTAGAATTAAACTCTTCGCATTTGTGCTTAGTTATTTTAACGTCACGTGATACATTACATTTGTAACGTACTCGATATTTTAAGGAGTGAAATGTCTGTATTCATAATCAGAATACTTACATTTTTACAGTTAAAATCAAGTAAATCGGCTCCTTCCCCACTGTCCATAAATCCCTTTGTCACCCAGCTGGATTTTTGACGTGGGGGTTTTACAGTCAATTACTTGTGCCCCATTACATGATGGGGGAAAGCACGGGGGTGCAATAGAACTATGGCATTTGACCATACTTCACCATGATCGCCATTGTGGGTTGGTTAAAGGGAGGAGGGTCCTCAAGACCGGTTGTGATATCGCTCCTCACTGATGTTAGCCCTGGGTGAGATTTGAACTCAGACGCACCGGGTTTTCATTGCGACCTGCATTAACCACTGGGCCAACACTCTTTGACATAATCCACGTACCGTAACTTCGCTTTCAAAAATGTTGTCGCCTAAGCGTCGCCTGGGACTCCGTAATCCTGACTGCGCTGGACCGCAGCAAATCATTTCATAGGGATTGGTGGTCAATCAATATCAGCTTTGGTAAATGACAGTCATTTTGAAAATCATCACCAGAAATAACAATGTAATTTGCTCGTCAAGGAAAGCTCCACAGATGGTCGAAGCATCACCGAAGGATGTCTGGCCAATTCCTGGCGAAAATGCCCAATGCAATGGATGAGATAACAGATCAGTTCGTTGCAGCCATTTGCTTTGCTGACATCTCCCCTTGCCACCGCTCAGTCCAGAGGATTGGGGGCATTTCACAAATCCGGACGATCCACCAACCCCTGCACCCTGCAGTAAGAGAGGTGTGTCACCGCTCGCAAGCATCATTATTCAAGGGACGCATTAATGGGGTTGATTTGTGCAAACCCAAAAACAAATGGATATTCATCGTCGTTTTGATGGCCCCTTATTTATCACCACTCTCAGCATTTATCTTTTCTGTGCAGAGAACAACAAAAAACAAAACTCCCCCATAAATAATCTTGTGCCTTGAGAAGTACGTTTTTTTTTTCCTCCTCTGTTAATTCTCCTCTTCGGTTTTTCTGTCGAGCCTGCGTTGGGAAAATAACACAAGCTGCACGAACCGCTTGGCCGTTTTGCTGATGCAGCTCAAATAGCCCCGCGATGCGGTGTGTTTTGCGTTAAGTGCTCGTTTTGCCGCGCGTGTTTAATTCGCTCCCACCCACCCTCCCCCCTCTCCTTCTCCTCCGACTGTTGCTTACTTTGTGGTTGCTGCTACTGCGGCCAAGTAGCATTAAGATACCCTTTGGACAGAAAGCAAGGAAAACGAATACAGTCGTTTAAAAAAAAAAAAAATATTTCGGAACATTGCAGGCGTGTCATTTCAATGCACCTTGAAATGTGTTTGGCGTTCGAGTGCAATTACGTCGTTATTTCTGTGAAAATGCGCACCTGTTTGTTTGGAATGGGCTAGGCTACATTTGAGTTTTGGCTATGCTCAATTTGCACACACATGTGAAGAATGATGTTTTCTGTAAAACTATTTCTTTTTGTAGAATTTAAAGAGCGCCTTGGTCTTATTTAACATGTCGAGTCAGTGCAATAGGATCACCCCTTGCAAGAAAAAAATGTGTCTGTCTTGGGTTACGTGAACCTTAAAGTTATGCAAACCTCTTAGGGAACTGAATTACAGAGATTTGGAGGCTGGCCAATCACATGAATAGGGTGGATTTTGTGCAGCCAAAAAAAATGGTATTCCCACCATTGATTCCACATGTCAATCAATCAATATAATATTTATAAAGTGCCATATTCAGCAAAAAAAAAAAGCTGAAATGGATGCACGGATGGCACTCAAAAAAATTCAATTTGACAGGAGAAGCACATGGATTAGGGGCACAGAAAAATAAGCAAAACTGCAACATCGCAGTCATCAATAACAGAGTTTGTACAAAAGACGTCACAGAGAGGAAGACGATGTGCCCAATACATTTTCTTTCCCCACCCCCTCTGTCCACCTAACGGTACAACTGGGTTCACCATAGTTGATCTCAGTGGGTTGCATCCGCCGGAGTCGAGTGTGGGTACTCCAAACTAAAGACATCTGGCCAACTTGGGAGACAGGCCACAATTCCCTCTATGGAGGAGTTAACCATCCACCAGCAATGGCTTAAGCAAACTATTTTATTGGCTGACGCCTATGCTGAGTGAATGTGAAAATGCATTTTAGTTCATGGAATTGCTATTGCTTACATCGATAAAAGCTGATGATGGTGGTGAAGATCGTTGTCATCAGTTATGTGGTAAAAAAATGTCTGCTTCGCGATATAGGTCTAGACTTGGGATCGAAAACTTTTTATTCGAAATTAACACTGTAAAGCTCCTTTTTAATCTGCTGCTGGATGAGGACCTCCCTAAACGATGTCAGCCATCAGGGTTGTCGAGCATACTTCACCATCCTGGCCAGTGTGTATTTTTATGTCTATTATCACTGCGTTGTATAGATTACATAACTAATCGAAATAACTAATCTAAGCAAGCAAACATATTAAATTGGGAGGAAACCTGACATGGAAATGAAACTATTGTAATTTCAGATGTCAAGAGTATATTACATTACCCTAATATTAGCTATGTTTCACCCAAGAAATTGCATATTTAACAAAGGTTTGTTTTCATAAAAGCATACTAGTTTCTTCAAGGTATGCAAAATAATTTTTTCGCGAAACTATATTACATTTACGCTAGACATGTTTGGTGTAGTGAAGACAGTATTAAAAGTGTCAGGATTCTAATCATGTTATTATTAAATGTAGCCTATTTCAGAGGAAGATTGTGCGATGTTTTGTTTACCCAATGGAGTACATGTTAACAGCATGAGCCACATCATCAGCGATGATTAATCCACTGCTGGCTGAAGCCCTTTGCCCTTCCAAGCCATCACCATCTCTCAGGGCAGTTTTTATAATATATTTCTACGTAGCAAATACGCATTGATTTTTTTTTTGTAGATCCAGTATTTTTTTTGAGGATGCATACACAGGAGAAGCATCTAAAAGTCTAATGCATTATAAAATACCAAGACGCTCTGAACATATTGCTGGTTCAGGTACAAACTATATGTCAGTAAACTACAAACATTAATAAGGTAAAATGTTCCTCGCTTTTATTGCGATCATTAATTCATGTTTTTTTGCAATTCTTGAATTTACTTTGCTTCATGATGTCCTTTCTCATTTTCACAAGAGTTGCTGAAATACATTTATTTAAATAAATAAAAACTTTCCCAATCAACAACACAACTTCTTTCTTGTAACAATAATACCAGGAAACTGAAGTTTTTTTTTTCTTCTTCATGATATCACAAGCAAAATCAGACGAGCATCCATTACCCTTAATGGTCTTGCCACGGTCACAGGAAGAGCAGAACTTTTAAAATCTAGATTGAAAACTAATTTCTTTAGAACTGCTTTTTTCTGTTTAGTTTATTGTCCTTCATTCGCATTTCTGATTTGCACGGTTGGCTACGTATGGTGCGAAATAAGTTCACCATACGCACATTTCATTCTTGTGTGCGTGCGATGGCAATATGTTCAGGAGCCCAATGCCAATGTCGAGGTTCGCTAACCGCGAGAGGGCTTCAGGCGAGAGCTCGTGCAGCTTTTGCTAATTCCACCTCCGTAGAAGGACACAACCAGAGTGCTTTAGTGTACGGTCCAAGTTGCACATAATACATACACAACGTTATTGTGCCGCCTGATGATGGAATAGCGAAAAGGATCACGAGCCACGTGTGGAGCCACACATCTTGGTATAAACCTCCAACTCAATCCCATGTGACAGCAAGTTTCTGGATGCCTTCCTTGTACCCAATCACCCCCTCCCCCCCCCCATATGCACGCTGCCAATTACCCGTCCCTGCCTTTTTGCAATCATGCTGCCACCCTACCCACCGCCCGTGCCACATCGCAACGTTTTAATTTGCTGCGCCGCAGAGACGGTGTGCCCGACGCGGATCCCCGTGCCAGCCCGCGATGAGAAGGGCTTTGAGCTGCTGGAGGGCATGATGATCCACAAGAAGACGGCGCGAGTGCTGGGCTCCTTGCCCACGCAGTCTGCCTTCTCCGTCAGCCAGCAGGACGACATCACAGAGAGCACCAAGTAAAGTGGCCAAAAGAGATGAAAACATCGATCGCTCTGCGGTTTTTATATGCAATTTTACTTTTGCTTTAATCAATTTAACCCTTTCCCAGCATCGTGCCGTCGTTTTTACAGCGATTGTGCTCACCGCAGAGAATTGTAGCGACACGACCGCACTCTGTGATAGCTGGCGCCAAATTGTAGCACACACCCTCCCGCATGGCCTTGTGGGAGCCTCGATACCGATTAAGTTATTTTATTTTAGTTTTTATTCCGGTTCCGTTCCGATGACGTACACGTACTTCATCGGAACAAAATCGGAAGAAAAACTGACGGTGTACACCTTGGTTATCGCATACGTCATCACAACAGGAAAGGGTTAATGCGATTTCATTTACATGCTCAAGACAGTAAATGTATTGATGTTGATAGAGTGGTGTTAACGTTAATACAGATATTTGATGATGATAGCAATAGTAATAATGCCCAATATCCAGGAAAGCCTCATCGAGTCTCACAGGACTTATTCAGGAAGATCCAGCATTGTAATGTTTAGCCAATGCCATGATTGAGTGTTAGACAGGTGGGAGGAAACCAGGGCACCTGCTAAATTCTATGCTAATTCCTTTGTCAAGGCGCTTTGTTTCTTCTCACACAGCTTAAAGGTCGCGATCTGAGCGTGGCTTTTTCGCTCCAGCGCTGTCCTCCAGAGAGTCTCGTCCCTTCACCTGATGAAGGCCGCTTGTGTTGTGGCCGAAACGTCGTGAGAATTTTATTGTGTTATTTTATTTTATCAATTTATTATTTTATTCTCATTCTACGTGACTTTACCGAAAGAACAAAAGAAGATGAATCCTTGCAGTCACGAAAGCTTTAAATCAAAAGATGACAATGGCGTTGCAGTCATAACACGATGAGTCTGAAGCTTTGTATCGGAAGCATCCCGATACAAAGCCTCTCCTGGCAAGCTTGGTGGTTACGATGATAATGATCGTGACGATGATGACTAAACTAAACTACTTTTTATTTTACCAGACAAGGCCTACTGAGCTATGTTGCTCTTTTTCAGAAACGGCCTGGCCACAAGTGGTAGCTGAACAAAGTGGTGTATCACGTGGAAGTTAATAGCAGCCTAATACTCTAAACGCGTGATTGTTTATTCTAAATGTGGATGGAAAACTGGAGAACCCGGAGAAAAATCCACGCGACCACGGGGGGAGAGAGAGAGACAGGCAAACTCCAAATATACAGCAGGCGGCAGGGTCGGAATCGGACCCACTAACTCTCCTGCATGCCAAGGCAAGGGAGTTGACATCTCAGTTGAACACGTGGTTGGCTTTCGCGAATAATATCATCAATAATAGAGGTTTTTTTGGTTAGATCATGTGAATATAAATGTGTCGTTAAACCCGCCACAGCAAATTAGTAAGGTTTGTCACGTAAACAGAACATGACAATTCATTATACTAGTACAGCACACCGAAGTGTTTGGTGAGCAATTCCACAACATTTAAAATCTGAGTAATTGTAAATGTTGTGAATTTGAGTAATTGTAAATGTTATGGATTTGAGTAATTGTAAATGTTGTGGTTTTGAGTAATTGTAAATGTTGTGGATTTAAGTAATTGTAAATGTTGTGGTTTTGAGTTATTGTAAATGTTGTGGATTTAAGTAATTGTTAATGTTGGGGATTTGCTCTCCAATACACCGGTATCCAGTACTGTTAACGAATCGGCATCTTCTGCTTACGCGACAAACCTTACTAATTGGCTGTGTCGGGTGGTGGCGGGTTTAACGACACATCTATTATCATTGACATCTCCTTGCCACCGCGACGACCCTCATTGTGAGGACGTCCCCCCCCACCACCACCACCACCACAACGCCGCGCATGCAGAGGGGTGTTTCCCGAGGGGCTGCCGCCGTCCTACGTCTTCGTGGCGACGTTCCGCATGCCCGGCGACGTGGCACGGCGCCGCTGGGACCTGTGGCGCATCGTGGCGCACGACGGCGCCCTGCAGGCGGCCGTCACGATAGACGGCGAGGGCCGCTCGGTGCGCTTCGCCGCCACGAGCCTCCTGCGCACCGCGCAGAGCGTGGAGTTCGTGGGCCCCCTCGTGCAGGTGATGGAGTCGCGGCGATGCGGGGGACGAACGCCGCCGATCCCGTCATATTTGAGCTAAGCGCCATATAGATCAGTGAGCCTTACCTGGTCAAGTTAAAAATAGTTTGTTATATTATCGGTCCTTCTCCCTCGCCGCCAGTGCCGGATTAAGCTAGTGCGGGGCTTATAGCATATGTTATAAAGGGGCCCTTAATAGAGAAAAAAACAAAAACAAATTAAAACACAAATGTTTAACTTGTGTCGTAAATTAATTGTATTTATTCATTTGCTATACAGCCAGATAATACGACAAATCGCTAACCTTCAACACCTAGTCGTTCATAAACGTTGAAGGCAGTATAGTACTATAGTAATAGAGCAAGTGCAGAATCGCTGAACTGGAATTGATAGCTTGAAAGCGTTTAGCGCGGGGCCCTTGAAAGTGCGGGGCCCGGAGCATATGTAGATACTTTTGCTACTAGGATAATCCGGCACTGCTCCCCGAACCCCTCCACTAGAATAATCTTGCCCTGTACATAAAGTAGTGCCCTGCCTTAACCTCCATCCGTTCCTCTCTTTTTACCAGCTAAGGCCCTCTGAGCTCAATAGCCACTTTTATCAAAAGTGACCTGGCCATTCGTGATCTTCCTCTTCCCTCTCCCCTTGCCCCTCCACTCCTTCCCGTCCCTCCCCTACATTTTCGTGATCCCCAAGTACCCCTCTATCGCGGTCACTCATTCCTCAATTCTTGTAGCATGCCCCTGTCAACCACAGTACGTCATTTCCTGATTAAGCGCCTTGAGTGAAGGTGATCTATACACGTACAATTCGATTCGATTCGGATAAGGTTGAGGCTAATAATCTACTGCTTGCTTGCTCGTGCCACAGCTGGCAGAATGGCCTCGACTAGAAGGATCTCGAGAGTGCCCCTCTCGAGGGTAGTTGGTCGACTTTTCCACGCTGACCCAGACGTCTTGGACGAGGTGGACGTACCCACGCATCCCCACTCAAATGGGAAACGGGAGTTCTGGGTAATAGGGTTTCACCTGTATTAATCAAGGCGCAAACGTACGATTTACGTTTGCAGCAGCACTTCCCAAACTCCAGTCAGCACTGGTGTGTCCACACTGTTTTTTTTTCAATCATGATTTGAAATAAAGTTGTTACTCAGAAATTATTTGTGGGGCAAATCACGTAAATCAAAATGTGTGCTGTAAACCCTCCCCCACCTGACACACCCATCCAATACAGTTGCCACGCGAACAACCGTGTGCTGGACAGCGATCTTTGACCTTTGAACCTCATGGCGGTACCCCCGGGGGTACCATAGTAGCCCGGCTCTCGCGTAATGTCCGTGATGCAGTCGTTTTGAGTCTGTTGATGGCCGGCGATGCGGCAATCGACTCATCTCGACGAGCTGTACTCACGATGATGCACCACTACGGTGGTGCGTACCGCGAGCGTTCAGGGTTTCAGCGCTATCGTCCTCGCTGCGTTTCGACATTGCGGAGTGTGGCACTGATTTCCGATTGATTGGTTAACCCCAGTCGCGGAGTTAAGTACACCCATGGAAGAAAATAGTGTCCCATAAATAAAATAATTCATTGCCTCGGCCAGTTTGTATTATTTGGTACCCCGGGGTACCGCCATATGAATCATTTATCAATTTGATACGACGGTTCGCCAGTAGTTACAACCAGCATCATCAAGTGGTTGTCAAATGCAAACCTGAAGAAATGGAGTTTGCCGAATGCTAGAATTTACAGCGTGCTTCTGATGAAAAAGTATTCCACCTAATTGATTGAAGTTATTTACCATTTGCTGCTGTAATAAATCAGCCTCCATACTCACAATAGTTCCAGACCTTTGTAGTTAAAATATTAGTATTACAGCAAGTGCAGTACTTTTAGTAGTCGTGTGATTCAGTGCAGGATTTATACAAGTGGAGCCATTTAAGTTATGGAACTTTGGTTTTTATTGCCCGAGTCTTGCTTTAAGGTGGAACCATAGTTGTAAAGTAAAGGCACTCCAAAGTGTTGGGGTGTGGTAAACATAATACGCACACTTTATTTATGTTGGGTTAATCCATGACGAATAATCTCAAGTTGACATTGTAAATATATGACCTTCCAATTTGTAAAAGCTCTGACAATGCAATGGGAGGCTTCTGTGTGTGCTCGACATGTACAGCCCTGTTGTCAAACCCCTGCTCGAAGAGGTTATTTGACCACACTTCATCACACATTTTAAAAACTAATTTTATTAGAATAGCTTTATGTGTTTAGTGTATACGTACCATGCTTTATTTCAATTGCATTTTGGGGTTTTATTTCTTTACAGAAATTGTTCGATGAGAAGTGGCATCAACTTAGAATTGTTGTGACAGAAACATCTGCAACTTTGGTAATCGATGATGAAGAAGTGGACTATAAAATTTTGGATAATATAATCTCGATTTTTATCAACGGAAAAACCCAAATTGCTAAATATTCACAGCAGGAAGCGACAGCGCCGGTGAGTCACGCAGCAAAGCATTATTTACAACTCATAAGATTTGAAAAAACGGTGAATGTTGTTGCCAAGTTTCTCTGTGATCATAAATTTACAAGGTTCTTCATGAAATGTTTTTTTAATCTAGGTCATAATCCAGAAAATAAGAATATATTGCGACCCCGGACAAAGCAAAAGAGAAACCGCTTGTGAGATTGGAGGTGTTGTGAGTATTATTTTGTATTGAATTTATCATTCCCTTGGCACTTTAAATTTGCATGATGTAAGCAGCAGCAATCATTAAAAGTTAATATTTTTTACATGTGTTTGTGGCTTTCAAAATGTCAACTTTTAAAATACAGGTGATGCAGGTTCAAGATGGCTCAGGTTGTGCAACATTGCATAAACAAAGCTTACATCCATGGGTTTTGCTTATACCGTATGCTTTTTTTAGATGGTATTTCAACAAAATAACAAACACAGCTTGTTTGTGTTTGTTTTCTTTCTCCCTCACGCAGAAAGATGAACGGGTGAGCTCTTTTCATTACTTGTACCGATTGATATTTTTTGCTGCATTTTTACCGAAGGTGGGGTTATTATGAAACTCCAACTAACGTATTATTATTCAATTACATTTTCAACAAATTTGTATTCTCTTTATAAAGGAATGGCAACAAAATGGCGGCTTCAAACCACCGTAGAAAATAATGAAATGACATCGACTTTCTAAACGAATTGGATTTATCCCCGCGTTGATTGTATAGTGTTATCCTTCATTGTCACGGCACATAACCCGAATTAACTGTGCATTAACTGCAGATAGAGCCATGCAGTGAAGTGTGACCTTGTTGAATCTAAACAAGCCACGTTTCCCACAATAGGCTGATGCGTGAGGAATTTGCAACTAACATTGTGAAGGTGACTTCTGCAATAATTTGGTAAAAATGTGATCATTTAACTTTCACGCAAACAGCATATCAGATGTTTGTGTACACAAATATAATTACAACCTTTGTAAATCCATTGCTGTGTCATTCGTTGGGGTCATTTTTTTGTTTGTTTATCATACTTCAACCACGCTGGTCAGTGTGGGTTTGGTGACGGCTGTTGTTTTGTTTTACTTAATGTGATCAGCAAAGCAATACGTGAATGTGTTCCAGCAGTCAGTGACCTGAATCCTATCTCCACGACAGTGCAAGGAAATACAGGCATTGGTGGGAACACTTCGTGAACCGTGTCAATGTCCGGCAGGGAGTCCTGGTCCCTATGGCATGCGAGGATTCAAGGTGACTGCCTGTGCACGTGAGACAACGTTAAAAAGTTTTACGTAAAAAAAAAAAGCATGAATTGTGAAAGTTCTGTAGGGATGCTATGGATTGCTGCACGCTTATTGTGAATCACGGAGGAGCTCTAGTGGATTTTTTTGAGTTGTGCTGTGCGTTGTCTGGCATGCTATCCGACGCTTCGCTCCGTAACGTATTCGCGAACTAGACACTAAATTGATTTTCTCGAAGGCACAACCGTTATAAAGCACAGCTGAGAAGGCCTACACAAGAAGAGGAGTTCTCAACTACAATCCAATCCTGGGATCAATTTGTTACATTGAACTCAATGTCTTCAAGATCGTCTATGGACTCGCATGTGCACCTACCCCCTCTGTCCTCTTATCTCACTCTCCTCCCCTCCGTGCACTCTCTGCTCCAGTGACCAAGGCCTTCTGTCGAAGCCCACAGTCAATCTTTGATCAGTGGCAGGTCGATAATTTCCTCTGCTGCCCCTGAGATGTGGAACTCACTTCCTCCAACCATCCATGCCATTAGCTCCCCACCCCCTGTCCATGTCCAGCCTCAAGACCTTCCTTATTTTTCTTCTGCCTATAACTGACTGCAATTACCGGCGAAACGTCGTACTCGAATTGTAAATGTTGTGGGTTTACTCTCCAACACACCGGTGTGCTGAACGAGTAACTAATTGGCACGTTTTGTTTACGTGACAAACCTTACTAATTGGCTGTGCCGGGTGGTGGCGGGTTTAACGACACATTTATATTTACAGAATCTATGCAATAAAAACTTATTATGGATATTGGTCGCGAAAGTTTACTATTAAACTGACTGTGCCTGTCCATGTAGCAGAGATATGTTTCTGTACAGCATCTTGAGATGTGGTCGCATTTAGATAGTGTATACGTTTAAAAAATGCATTGTATTGGGCATTGATTTAAAATACGAAGGTATTGAAAATAAATGCAGAACGTATACATTTTCATTGATATTTCATATCATCATTCCCCAGCATTCTTACCAGCAGAGTTTCATACCATGGAATATACGCAGAACATATCTACCTGTACTTAAAAAAAGTCATTGACTCAACGTACATTCGTATCTTAAAGAAAATCAATATCCGTACAATATTGTTCACAATTCCTTTCGGACTCTTGTGGGAGTTGAGTTTATTTTTAAATGACGTACACAATTATTTCGTGAGTGTCTTTTTTTAAACAACACAGTGTTAAAGTGCAGCTGGGGCACTAAGTAAAATAAATAAATGTCGAAGGCTCGGTACTTCAAAAATGAATACATTACACATGACCACATTTATTTGTGTTTGCAGAGAGAGAGAGAGTCTTCCTGCAATGAATAACGCTGCTTTTTTTTTATTCCAAACCTAACGTCTTCATTCTCACCACAGTCCAATCCACTCTTGCCTGAGCAGAGCATAGTGGCACCCCTATCAAAATGAAAAACCGTCAAAAAACAATGCCTCTATTTTTCAACAGCAGAAAAAAACGAGAGAGAGAGAGAGACTTGCTGTAGCTGTCACAGGAGACGTTAAGCTTTCGTTGGAAGCACTTGCTGCTGATTGATTCGCTGCTGAAGTGTGCCCTGCTGGAGCCCGGGTGTCTGTGTCATTGCTTGACAGGGGCACAAGGGGCACAAGGGCGAGAGAGGAGACCCCGGTGCCGATGGCAAGCCGGTGAGTACGCCGGGCAGGGAGACACACACAACGCCAGCGCCTCACCGCGCCCGGTGCACGAGAGACAAACACGAGACACAAACGGCGCTGATGCACGGAGTGGCGTTCGAGCGCTTGCATGAAGGCCGCTGCATGTGGGTCAGGCCTGTGTGTCGTGGTGGTGGTGGTGGTGGCTTTTAAAAGTAGAACGTCGTTGGCAGTGTCTGTAGAGCATCAGACAAAAAATGGTACTATTGATAAATAAATACAGGTGTTAAGATGTTAATATTTGTATTTATGCCAGAAAGAGCAAGCCTATTTTTATCATCTTGACACTGGCAAAAAGGGTCCCGTAGATATTTGTAATATTGCCCTGGCGGTGGTGCACAAGAAAAATAACAACTCAATTCATTTGCCAACAACACAGAGCTCTAAAGCAGAAAGATATATATGTAAAACGGGCTATATATTTTGGGCAATATCACTTCTAATCTTCTGCGTCTCTAAGGCTGCCTCTCTTCAGCTGTGAAGTAGGGCCATTTGATTCTTACACACGTGGAGTATGCATTGAATCACGCACACATTATATTAAAAATAATAATGTGTAAATCATGCGCCGGATGTAATTAGTTAATGCAATCCCTGGAACTACGGGAGACCCGACATACACCACAAAAAAATATAATTATCGATCTGTGAATAGAATTGCTACTGTAAATTGTGACAATTCATTGCCACCAATCAAGGTGAATCGATATTTGCCTTCAAAGCATGTCGCCAAACACGAGCTTAACTTTGTAACTGTTGTTCACTATATGTAGTATTTATTAATAGAAGACAATTAATTTATTTATCTATGTGATGGCATCCATGGCTTTAGTAATGGTGACATCTTGATCTCGATCTTGATTTATTAAGCGTGTCGCATAAATCAATAGTAATGTATAAATTAGAAATTGCATACGCAGAGCACAGTGAGCTATAGTAATCGTAAATCCTGGCTGGCTTTACTTGGCTAAAAAAAATAAGCATCAGCGGGGAACAACTATATCATATGTGAGTGTATATCATGCAGTTGTTTGTGATACGGCTACTTTTCAAACTTTTTCTCATAACGTCTCAATCATCTGTCTCTAGGTCTGCCTTATCAATTCAATGGGTGTATAATGCAGTATAAGCAACACACTCTCTCTTTTTCTGTGTGCCTCTCTACGCAGATATGCCAAGTTATTACATTGACACAGGGTAGCCTCTTCGAGTTTGTGTGGTATTAGAGTTTGATAATAAATAAGTTTTGCATTTTTTTTAAATATTTAAATGTAAAATTAATGACTTAATGAAACTATTGGCATATTATGACAGAGACACGTGCAGTGTTATATCTTTCACATCGTGCAGCAGATGGGTGACAGCTTTATAATTTGGGAAATTTAAAAATAATGAAGCCCACTTTGCTGAATTCCTTTGTGTAACATGGATTGTATTGGCTCTTCATTGCAGTGCCAGTGTTCATATAAATAGCACACAACATTCAACGATAAACAAAGCAAGATATTACATAATATACTTGTACGCTATCACAATGAGCCAGAAACCAATACTGTATTGCAAAAAAATATTCATGTCAATTATATACAGAGGAACGCCTAATTGGGTATCAAGACCAGCAAAAGTGGACGCAGGGCATTAGATTTAGTTCTGCCCTTGTGCCTCTCATTACCTGCAGGAATTGTATCTGGGACCACAAGTTGATCAAGTCAATCAATCACCAAAAAATTGTAATAAACGATTATTTTCTGGTCAATCATTCGAGCCCCTTGAAAAAATTTAGCCACCCCGACATTCTGCCTACCAAAAGTAGGAATCCTCATAAATACGACGTGCAGCATGGCGCAGGCAATGATGATGATGACCCCACTAATGCCCATCATGTTATCAATTCCCCGCCAGTGGCACGTGTGGTGACAGAGGTCAGAGTGGGTCACATGGAGCGGTCACAAAGTCACTTCGTACGTCCTGGTTGTCTGTGGAGTTCTGAGTTTAGAAATCCACAGGAGCGCCCAGGGAGTCACCCTCAGTGACTTCGCTGCTATTCATCACAGAATAATCATCTGCATCTCTGTCGATGCCCAATTGTAGCGCGATATTACTCATCCTCTATAGGATGGCATCTGAGGTGGTGTTATATAAACTCACGCACGCTTGTGAGTAAGACTCAACAATGTCATCTCCTCCGAGCCACCTCATTCCACACCTACTACACCTCGGAAGCCCCAGTCTTGCCACTCTTTCAAGCAATAACCAAACTCGAACCTACTTAGCATCTGACATCTGATTAAACGAGGCAAATTCATATAAGTCTCCGTTCATACGGTAAGAAGCTGACGAATGTCATTCTCGAAGATGGGTGTACATGACATCCTTATAGCAGCTGTTGGCAAAGCTCCAGGTTGGTGTTTGTTCATGACATCGATGCTTTATGCTGCAGAGGTGTGATTAATAGACCAGCCCAGTGGGCCACTATTATAAGAGTGAATGCCCCTGGAGACTCCCTCTCCGTATTGCTGCACGTACACGTGTGTACCCCCTTAACCGCTTGTGTCGTGACTGCAACATAAACACGTGCAGTGGATTTAAAAACTCATGCTGCGCAGGAGATGTTGTTCATTTGTAACCTGGATGTGTTGGCAGTTTGTTTTTGCCATCGTGCATTTTGAACCCAAGAGGTTGTTTTTCATGAATTCAGTCATGTTTTAAAACCTGGAATGTGCTGTTATATAGATATACACATACGTTCCAATGGTGGTAATGTATGTAATTTTGTCCATGGGTCATAGCAGATATCAATACCATGTCAGATAGCACAACTTTATTAGTTTTTTTTGGCTCAACATGACTTGACAACCCATACATTTCATATGGTTATCACCCATAATGCACTGTTATTTGCCCACATAGAGAAATTGGAAGCACTGAGGTGAAGCCACCTCAGGTGGTACTGGCAAGTGAAATTCATGGTTTTGGTCCATGGACTAATTGTTGCGGTAGCTCTTTACAGCAGGTAGCATCAGTAAAAAGCCACTTTAAGCGGACACAACACATTTAATGTTATGATGAAGTTGGTGATTAAATACACATGGCCCGTATAGGTGTTCCTGCACACGGAAAGCTCGTTTGCTCATGTAACAGGAAAAATAAATGCTGTAAAATGTGTAGGGTGTTTTGCATATTTTTATATTATTATAAAAAAAATATATATGAAGCGTGCATTTTAAATCTAGGTGTGTATTAAAAGTAATTAGGGATTGTGATCACGTTTATCCACATTATATTTGTATTTGTTTTAGGAGCTGATTTGGTTGATTAATGTATGTAAATATAGTTCATATATTAAAATATTATCAACTGAATCCAATTTATAGCATTGTATCATATTTATATATTGCTCATTTTTTGTAAAATATTACAACAATGTTACACATAAAACCATATGCGTGCCCACAGGAGGTGGTCCAGTGGTTAAGGATCAGCCACTGCTTCGAATCAGGGTTCAAATCCATGCAGCTACCCATAAAATCTAATAAAGTTTTCGCATAATTTGAAAACATTTCTAGTTCTAAAAGTTAAACACAGTCTATATAAAATAGACTTTTTGTTTGATATTTTTTGTGGATAAGAGGTCACTTAATACCTCTCAGATGTCGTTCTGGGATATCATCTTCCACAGTCCATTCTCTAACATGTTAAATTTCGATTTAAAGCTTTCGTGACTGCAAGGATTCATCTTCTTTGGTTCTTTCGGTAAAGTCACGTAGAATGAGAATAAAATAATAAATTGATAAAATAAAATAACACAATAATATTCTCACGACGTTTCGGCCACAACACAAGCGGCCTTCATCAGGTGAAGGGACGAGACTGTCTGGTAGGACAGCGCTGGAGTGAAAAAAGCCACGTTCTAACATGTTGTTATGCGCTGCTTTGCGAAAGTTCGTAACGGACAAGTTGTTGCTTTTCGCTATGGCAATCGCAAATTGTAATAATGTTGTGGGAAAGCGACCAAAAAATTCCCATTTCAAATATTAACTCATTTCGCGAAACAAACTAGACTTGTCACATGTGAGTAACGCGTTTAGTGTTTTTCATGGAGGGAAAATGATTTAGCACCCTACACGGACCACTATAAAAGTGATTGTTACGTAAAAGCTGACTAATTCGGTACTGACGTTGGGTTTAATTCCTGTAGTGGTACGCAATGAAATGTTCCCCTTTGTGACAAATCCATCACTCCAAACATGGCTTGCGCACCTGCAAGGCTGCATGAGAGCAGCTGTAGCTTCTCGAGCGCAACAAAGGCCATTCAACGGCGCCGCATGTACCAAGGTCTTGGATTCATCATCATCATTATAATCGGCCATGATCAATCTACTGCTGGATGAAGGCCTCCCGAGCCGCTGTGATCTTTGTACAATTCTGCGATGTAACGATCTGCTTTGTCAATTCAACACGTAGACTTTCACGACTGATCCGATTCATAATTAATTTTTTTAGTCAGATTGTGTGAGGTACATGCCAATGTGTGTCGTACACCCTCCTCCAGCTGACCATTTGAATCGTGAGTTATTTGGCTGTGTCGGGTGCAGGAAGGTGGTATGACACACATTGGCATTTTACTCGTGTGGCGACCAAAAATTCAACTGTCGGTTATCCACCTCGTAGGGTGACGTGAGCTGACTTCATTGCTCTGTCTCCTCGGTGGAGGTCCCCTCGAATGCGTTCCATTCTCCGATCCTTGGCTGACACTGCATGACTCTTCCTGACATTTGGCCTGCATCATCTCTTCCAGTGAAATATATCCTGGCCAAAACCTCCGATTAGCACGATTGCCTACGTACGGTGCAAAGGAAGTTCAACATACTGTACATGCATGCATTAAAAGTCACTTTTCTTACATTTTAATTTCGTCTTTAACTTGCACATGGCTCCTAATGCACTGTATCCAATTGAACTCATTTTTGAGGGGTTGGGATATTTTTTTTTATTTAATTCACACATCGACCATTTAATTGAAATGTAATTACACTATGTTTGTCTGTCATCTTTCAAAATGACAGGGCATACGTGGCGAGCCTGGTTTCCCCGGGGCAACAGGGCCTCAAGGACCCCAGGTGCCAATGAAAGTCTTGATCTCATCTTCAACAGCTCCGTGTTGTTTAATTACATTTGCTTTGGAAAGTGCCAACTCCAATTTCCGTATTTAATTAAAAATATTAATATGAAAATATGTATCATTCGAGGCCAGGTAAGTTTTTTTTGCTTTGTTTTGAATTGCATCCGCACTGTTGCTAAAAATGCGTGGCACGTTTACCCCGGCCGAATGAGGAAATTGTTGCGTTGAATTTATGATTAAATAAGGTGTCATTGTTGTCGCGTTAGTTCGTATCCCCATTTATTACCAACTTACATAATGCGTACCTGGTGCTGATGATTGAAAAGTGCATTGCAGATTATGGTTTCATAAGCTACACTTAGCTGGGACTGTTATATAAAATACTAAGTTATAAGTATTTCTATAACTTGCTTTTGGAAGTGTCTGTTTCAAATCCTTTGTAATATATAAAATGAAACACGCTCCCACGTGATTTGGAGTACTAGGTATTGGAAGACTTAATATTAACAGTTTCATCAAGAGGGAACTCCAAAATGGATTGAAGTTCTTATCTTATCCAATTTAAGCACACGTCTCAGCAATGATAACATTATATCAGTCAGTTACTACCGTTAGTGTGTTTGATACATTCACATATCATAAAAGCGGCATTTACTTAATAATAAAATATTCTATGATGTAACTTGTATTGGCAAAATCCGGATACACGCACACTGCTTGAAAACAAGACCAAGTGTGCTTTTATCAGAAGTTTCTCTTCACTTTTCCTCCACCAGTGCAATGTAAGCACGTGTTACTTCTGTGGGAAATGTGCTTATATCCAGCTTCCAATATACAAGCCATATTGAATGGGAAATGTTTACACCAATTGATAGGTGCTTAAAAACACTTATCGTTGGATGTTTATCGATACAGTTTTATATTTATTTGGTGCTGAGCTTATACGAGTTGATGAATTTCTCTGGTATGTATGTTGAATTTCTTTCGCACCATGCGTAGCCAACCGTGCTAATCAGAGGTGCGGGGCAAGGACAAAACACTAAAACACAAAAAGCAGTTCTAAAGAAATTAGTTAATGATGAAGTGTTAACAATGAGCGTGTGGGCTTCTCATTTATATTCTAAGTGTGGGTTTGCTCTCGTGTCAGGGTCCCCTTGGGATTCGAGGGATTTCGGGAAGAGAAGGAGAAAAGGGAGACCCGGTAAGGTTACTTCACGTCATAATCCCCGTGGTCATATGTATATGGCTAACAAATGTACAATCTACGTTATGGCACTGTTGAATCAATTTGCAGCAATGCCTAGCATAATAAAAAAAAACAATGTCTACTCACCTGTGAACTCTTATGCTAACTGAACCTTGCAAAACCCACATGGTGGCATTCAAGACACTAATTATTTGTGTTGCAGCCCATTCGGTCGTTAAATATTCTATAATAATGGTCAAAGTATGAGGATTTTAAGTGGGATTCGTGGGATTTCGGGAAGGGAAGGAGAAAAGAGGGACCCGGTAAGCCTCCTTCTCGTCATAATCTCCGTGGTAATATTCATATGGCCAACAAATGTACAATCTACGTAAAGCACTGTTGAATTAATTTGCAGCAGTGCCTAGCGTAATAAAATACTGTCTACTCATCCGTTCACTCTGATTCTCCGATCAGCATGGTTGGCTACGTACGGTGCGAAATAAGTTCAACATACACACACCAGTTTAACACGTAGGCTTTCGCGACCAATATTATTCATAATAAAGGTTTTTGGGTTAGATCGCGTTTATGATGCCCGATGATGCTGGAAGTATTTACCAGCGAAACGTCGTACTCAAACTGTAAATGTGGATTAACTCTTCAACACACCGGTGGGCTGAAGTAGTGAATTATTTGTCTTTTGTCAACGTGACACTTTTTTTTTTGCTGATTGGCCGTGTCGGGTGGTGGAGGGTTACGACACATTTATAAATAAACGCGATCTAACCCAAAAACCTTTATTATGAATACACACACCACATACCTTACCAAAAAAAAAACCCCGCGGTGGCATATATGATACTCTTTTTTTCTGCATCCCAGTCGGTCGTTAAACATTCTCAAATAATGATCAAGATAGTGCTTTCACAGAGGCCACCCAGGCCCACAGAGCAAACCTTACCTGCCACGGCATGCCCCCACGCGCCTTGCAGCCCACACCTGCGCGTGGAGGGGGGGGGCAGTGCTTGTGTGGCAGCACAGGTGTGGGTTTACACGAACGTGCCTCGTTTCATACAAGAGGGGAACTCGAGGACTCTCACCCCTATGGTTAACTGGCGTGAAAGCCTTCACAGCAGTCATATTCGTGGGCCATCGGTCAAAATCCGCGGGACGTCGCTGCGGCAAATTCCCATGAAGTGGATATTTCTGTGACCCGCCGCCGCTCCGTTGCGGAGGCAAATTGTGAAGCGAGCAACAGCGGCGCTCTTTAAGTATGTGTGTTTTTTTATATATAATGAAAATTTTAATTTCAAAACCTGTCATTTCAAGACCCTCCATGCAGATTTTAAATATTACCGAGTGGTGTTAAAATGCCGTCACCTCCCTCCTAAAGGAGATTGCTGCAACGGAGGCGAGAGTGCTTCCAAGGTGACATTTAACGGGGGCTTTGATTGACATTTGTTTAAACCTATTGCTTGAAAAGTGTATTTCCTGGCGGCGAAGACAGTTTACATTTTGCTAGCGGTGTAAGGGATTTGGAGGTCTCAACTTATTTTTTTCATAAAAATGCACCTTCACATTCCAGGGCAGTCGAGGGGGACCCGGGCTCCCTGGGGCAGCTGGACTCAAGGGACACAGGGTAAGGCAGCAACCACATCCCTAAGCATTACACTGCATTCCCGCATTATCGCTTAGGGCATAATCTGCAGTCATGTTTACGATACGTTATAATTAACTGACAACGCAAAGTAATTTTTTTTTTATGACAAGGCTGAAGGGCCCAGCCGGTGGCACATGGGGGAATGATGAATCAATGAGATAGATTGTGGGAGCTCAACTTTGCTCGGTAATTCTGTAAAAAAATTGCATAATCGTATCTAAAAATAAATAACTCAGTTTCTTGAATGCTACCGGGGTAGTGTCATCTCAGTGCTGAGCCAGGACGATTCCCTGTTGGCTAAACTGTCACAGACAAAGTTTCTGGCAGATCGAAGATAAATTAATATTGTGTTTACACTCTTGAACTGCTACCCGCCATGCTTGAAGAGGCACTGCGATTTGTACGTTAAAATAGTGTTAAAAGTACGGTCTTATAGGTTGGATAGAGTTATGTCTTAAGTGTAAGCTTTGCGGATGGCAGTGGCAAATCGTAAGGTTGACAATTATTCATAGGAAAAATAAACGTGAAAGCAGCAGAGGTTAATGTTTAGAATGAGAAGCCTGTTTTGAATGTTGGCATCATCAAGGTGGACGGTGCAATTCATCATTCGTAGGCGCTTCATTCATGGCTGCTGTGACATTTCGTTGACCGGCAGTTTGTGCGCGGTGGGGTAAAGCGTGGGGACTCCCAGCTCTTCTAAGAGGTCTGACCAGCTTGGTAGAGTAGGCAAAACACCTTCTGGGGGGTAGCGTGGTGGGGGGGGGGGGGGGGGGCTCTGGCACTCCACTAACGTGGAAGCCCCTTCCCGCCAGCAGTGGTGAGAGTAAGCAATTGCAGGGCTTTCGCCTTTGCATTTAACTTTTGACAGCTGCTGTCGTGAACCTGGAATGTCCCGTGCATTATGTTGAGCAATGCATGAACGAGATCTCAATTGTTTTGAGGAGTGAAAGCCGAAAGGTGCCATTGGACGTGAAAACCGGACTTTTAGGAATGTTCTACAGTGGCATACCTACAAATGCGTTTTTTTTCCCCAAGGCCGTTTAGTGTACGAAACGTCTGTACATGCGATGTACAGACTTATGACATGTATATATGGCACATTTTTACATGCTATGCATATATGACTTTGGCCACAGTCGTAGATTGTGCCGTATGTGTGGTTAAGCTATGCACAACTTGTAAAAAAAAATCAATTGGACCGTGTCTCACAACACTGCAAACGTTATGATCAATACATGCCAAGAACATCAAGACTACAATATATTCGTTTATGTAATTTTACGTAATTATTTGAACAAGAAGTACTCGTTAAGCAGATTAACATCGACGTTTCTAAATGTTATCTCAGGATGCGCAATTGGAATACTGCCGCCTCTGCTTCTGTAGATTCTGTTTGCTTTTCCTTTGATCAGAATCGATTCTGCTGATTGATTGCATATGGGTGCTTCTTTTGAGATAATCGTTGAAGGCGTTTTGACAGGGTGTGCAGGGGCCAGTGGGTGAACCTGGAATAGGAGGCCCACCAGGGAGGAAGGTCTGTATGTTATCTGTCTGTATGTTATATGTCTGTCTGTATGTTATCTGTCTGTATGTTATCTGTCTGTATGTTATATGTCTGTCTGTATGTTATCTGTCTGTATGTTATCTGTCTGTCTGTATGTTATATGTCTGTCTGTATGTTATCTGTCTGTATGTTATCTGTCTGTATGTCTGTTATCTGTCTGTATGTTATCTGTCTGTATGTTATCTGTCTGTCTGTATGTTATCTGTCTGTATGTCTGTTATCTGTCTGTCTGTATGTTATCTGTCTGTATGTTATCTGTCTGTCTGTATGTTATCTGTCTGTATGTTATCTGTCTGTCTGTATGTTATCTGTCTGTATGTTATCTGTCTGTGTGTATGTTATCTGCCTGTCTGTATGTTATCTGTCTGTATGTTATCTGTCTGTCTGTATGTTATCTGTCTGTCTGTTATCTGTTTTTCTGTATGTTATCTGTCTGTCTGTATGTTATCTGTCTGTCTGTATGTTATCTGTCTGTATGTCTGTTATCTGTCTGTCTGTATGTTATCTGTCTGTGTGTATGTTATCTGTCTGTCTGTATGTTATCTGTCTGTCGGTCTGTCTGTATGTTATCTGTCTGCATGTTATCTGTCTGTCTGTCTGTATGTTATCTGTCTGTCTGTCTGTATGTTATCTGTCTGCATGTTATCTGTCTGTCTGTATGTTATCTATCTGTCTGTCTGTATGTTATCTGTCTGTCTGGTATGCTATCTGTCTGTCTGCATGTTTTCTGTCTGTATGTTATCTGTCTGTATGTAATCTGTCTGTATGTATGTTATCTGTCTGTCTGTATGTTATCTGTCTGTCTGTATGTTATCTGTCTGTCTGCATGTTTTCTGTCTGTATGTTATCTGTCTGTCTGTATGTTATCAGTCTGTCTGTTATCTGTCTGTCTGTATGTCATCTGTCTGTTTGTATGTTATATGTCTGTCGGTATGTTATCTGTCTGTCTGTATGTTATATGTCTGTCTGTATGTTATCTGTCTGTCTGTATGTTATATGTCTGTCTGTATGTTATCTGTCTGTCTGTTATCTGTTTGTCTGTATGTTATCTGTCTGTCTGTATGTCATCTGTCTGTTTGTATGTTATATGTCTGTCTGTATGTTATCTGTCTGTCTGTATGTTATATGTCTGTCTGTATGTTATCTGTCTGTCTGTATGTTATATGTCTGTCTATATGTTATCTGTCTGTCTCTATGTTATATATCTGTCTGTTAGCTGTCTGTCTGTTATCTGTCTGTCTGTATGTTATCTGTTTGTCTGTATGTTATATGTCTGTCTGTATGTTATATGTCTGTCTGTATGTTATCTGTATGTTTGTATGCTATCTGTATGTATGTATGTTATCTGTCTGTCTGTATATTATCTGTTCGTCTGTATGTTATCTGTCTGTGTGTATGTTATCTGTCTGTCTGTATGTTATCTGTCTGTATGTTATCTGTCTGTCTCTATGTTATCTGTCTGTATGTATGTTATCTGTCTGTATGTTTGTTATCTGTCTGTCTGTATGTTATCTGTCTGTATATTATCTGTCTGTATGTCTGTATGTTATCTGTCTGTACGTTATCTGTCAGTATGTATGTATGTTATCTGTCTGTATGTGATCTGTCTATATGTTATCTGTCTGTCTCTATGTTATCTGTCTGTCTGTATGTATGTTATCTGTCTGTATGTTATCTGTCTGTCTGCATGTTATCTGTTTGTATGTTATCTGTCTGTATGTTATCTGTCTGTCTGTATGCTATCTGTCTGTCTGTATGTTATCTGTATGTCTGTATGTTATTAGCTCTCTCGTGCGCTTTCGCGTTGTTGCACAAGTTGTTCTGAGAGCACACCCGGGGAGCTATATTGCACAACTGCGAACGTACGTATGTATGCATGTACGTTGAACTTCTTTCGCACCGTACGTAGCCAAACGTGCTAATCGGAGGTGCGATGGAAAGGACACACTTAACACAGAAATCAGTTACAAAGAGATGACTTTTCAATTATGTAAGAGTGCATTGCCCCACTGGCTTCCTAATATTGGAAGGAAGAGCGTTCCAGATGGCCGCAGAAGTGCATCTGAAAGCGCGCGATGCGGTGACCGTCTTTGTTTGATGGCCTAACAAAAGCCGCCGCTGCGAGGATGACCACCGGAGTGTCACGTGATGGTTCAGGCTCCTTGACGAGATTAGCGAGGTTATTGTGGTTCATTCGTGGCAAGCACTTTGTGTGTAATGCGTGCGACCTTAAAATGTATTCGTTCAGCGGTATGCACATCATTTGCTCCGTGATGGATTCGATCATCATCATCATTAAAGTTGCCCTGTCTATCCTGCTAATATTTAATAGAATTCTCAGAACATTATTTCCAAATCTTTTTTTTTTCATGAAATCGCATTCACCCAATCGCCACAGATATTCTTAATAATGATCATTTGCAACCCCTTTGTGAATAGATTTTTCGACCATAACTCACCACCCTGGCCAGGGCAGGTTGGTGAAGAGGCACCCAAGACCAGTTTCGTGATGTCACTTGCCACTAATCTCAGCTGTGGCCTAGGAATCGAACTGTGGTTGCTCCAGGTTCACAGCACTATCACAGTACACTGACCACTGGAAAAATAACCCACTGCACCCAATGTTTGTAATACTGTTAGCAATAAGGGAATGTGAAAAAGGGAGGTTCCGTCATTAATAGAGTATTTTAATTATGCCGCAAATCATGCTGGAGTGCCATCTCCTATGTAGAGGATCCAGTGACTTAAGAGGATGTTTATAATTCATGCCTAGAGGGTAGTGCACCTCAGCGAGTTTTGTCTTTTGAGCACCATTAAGCTCCTTAATTAAATGTCGGTGAGAATCGAAAACTTTGCAACGCCTGGAGTGTCACGTTAGCATACGATTGTTCATGCCTCAAGCCCTTCCTCTTTCTTACAGAACGGTGGTGGTGTTGATTGATTACACCTGGCCTAATCGCGTTAAATTGTGCAGGATTTGTACTCGCGTCGTGTTTTTGTCAAGGGACGAAATACCATAACAGATGACCTCTGCGATAAATTGTTAAGCTTTACGTGACGTCACCATCGGCTCAATGATGAAGATGGTCAGATCTACATAATCGTACTTCTGTTCATCACGCCACGAACAAAAACGTTACACTTTCTCACCATTCAGCTAACTGGCCTCATCGATTCGTTATATCCAGCAGAATTTGTATCAGCAAGCAAACTCTCTACCTGCTGGACCTTTGGGTCAACTGTAAACAAGTCTTGAGGCTCTGTAAGGCCTCCCTGGTAAAATAATTGGCATTTTGCTGGGAAAAAGGTGTATTATTGTTATTATTTTTTACCAGACTGAAGCTTGTAAAACAAATACTGTTGAGTTGCCAGAAAATGTTTGGCATCATCACTGCCTTCATTCTGCACTGTTGTGGAGCATTATGGGTATTACACATATGCTAATAAAATATACTTCCATTCGTTCTACACACACATACACACATAAATGTATTTCCGTGTATCTCTGGCCACGACAGTTATATTATTTAGCCCACCTCCCGATTGGCCTTTCGGACTAATTATATAACATGTCATCTTATAAATAGTGTAAAGTCTACATGATTAGTTATGCTCAAAGATGATATTAATCCGGAAGTTATTATTTCAGTGAAGCAATTTAATGCTGTCTGCTACCTCTGCTGTGCAGGGGGAACCCGGTTCAAAAGGCAGTCCAGGCCTCCCTGGTCTCCTAGGGTCAAAGGTGAGCAAGTTGTCTTGTACATCCATCATTTGCACGTTCTTGCACCTACACGGAGCAAGAGGCCATCATCTAAAGAAATACATGATGGAGAGGATGATTTATGGAAAATTAAGGAGAGGGTGGCAGAATATGGGTTGGGTGGACGGTGCGAGAGTGATGCTTCAGATGACTGCGGTGGATGCACTGAAGCGAGCGCAAGATCGTGAGCGATGGAAACGGATCGTGCTCAATGCCACGTCCGCTGAGAACACTTAGAGTTCTGGATGTCGAAGATGACACCTGCATGGTGTTTTACAAGCCATCTCCTATGAAACTGGATTCAATTAGTGAATTCCCCGCAAGCGGCTTAGTGTACTGTCACGAGAATTTAATTGAATCAACACACATCGCAAGTGGGCGAAATGGAAAGTCCTGCAGCCCATGCTAAATGCCCTGTCCCCTCTGTAGATACATCGCAGCATAGGATTAGGAACCCTTATGAAAAGTGCCAGTATTCATATTTGGTGTTCTTAAAAGTGCAAGTATGGCATATAATTGTATACTGGCCCATTTCGTCTACATCACATACTGTAAAATGAGCTTGTTAATGACGCAGGTGGCATGGCCTTTACATGTTCCGCATATACTATATGACGTTGTATTGCAGCCAGTAATGGTATAATTTAAACAAAAACACATTGCTGAGGAAGGCAATGGGGGTGCCACCTCGCCTCTCCTTTTCTAGATACAGTATGGCTCAAGATTCCGAGGATTGAGCGTGGTGTTCAGGATTTATTTTTTCTCTCTCCATGAATTGCAGTTGCTGAGCGCAGGACCCACACGCCCAAAAAATGCCAAGCGGACAGCAATAAACACCGTTGAATGTGTGACAAGAGGCGGTGTGGGGAAACTAACATCAGATGAGATGGGGGATCCTGAGCCATTGACCTATCTCGGGCACACAACTTGAGATTATTTTATATATCTAAATGTGTTCTAACATTTGCTGTATGGTGAATGAGGTCTGAGTTTTGTTGTTGCTGACAATGTTGCTCTGTAGGTTTATATTGCAATAGCTCGTTGTTTAATTAATGCTAGGGCTACCCAGGAGAAGATGGACGGAATGGTTTACCAGGCCTCAATGGACTTAAGGTGAGATTATCATCATTATCATTATTTTTATTTTTCCCAAAGTTATTACTTCAGGCACCTGACGACAACTTTAACATTTATGGAGAGCAAAAGAAGGTCACCTGTGTCCTTGAGATCAAACGATTGTATTGTGGATAAACTGCTGTTGGGCCCAAGCAGCTCGTGCCATGATTGGTTGTAATCTGCTGGTAACTGATGTAAAAATAGTCAAGTTAAAGTAGGAGCCGTCAGAGCTGCTATTGCTCATAAAACCTTATCCCCGGCCCTCGATTGTATCTCGCTGCGTCAACATTGACCACTGTGGGCAATGGCCCATTCTGGTGGACTGCATTTCTCAGTGACGTAAAATCTTTTACGGAAATACAGCATTTGGTTTTGTGGCTTCAAATAACAGCTCAGTGGCTCTGTTGATTGTGGTCTAGACACTCAGTGTTAAAATACCTGTTAAAATGGAAAAAAACCCACCACTTTATGTCACACAAACAATAAGCATTCTGGGGGCAATGCCACTTCTTGAGAGCAATAAGCATGAACAGAAACAGCTTTATATGTTTACCAGTCTTTTGATGACTTTGTGAGAATAATATTTTTGACACTGTTGTCCGTACTTAGATGTCAGAATCAGCATTTTTATACTGGAGGAATCCGATGAGCTATTAAGCTCTTTGTCACAGATCTAGGAGGAGGCGAGAAAGCGAGCTCATGCATTTAATTAGTCTCACATCGCGTCTGGTCTACACGGTAGCCGTTTATATCGTCAACACATTTTGTGTGCACAGACCCACACGTGCGGTTGATGCTGTGAGAGAAGGAGGTGGTTAGCATTAGGGGTTAAACAAGTGAGCAGCAGTGGAGTGAAAATAATTGGCGTTGACTGCATGGGCCTTCAGTGGCACCAATTTCCTACCACCGCTACTCGAGCACATTCCGTGAATGCCAATCAACAGCAGTCCACACGATGCCGTGGGCAAATATATATATAGTTTTATTTTCTTCTTGTTTAACAATTAACCCCCTTAGCTTCCGCACTAAATGGAGCGTCACAATGCATCAGAGGGCGATCGCAGAGTCAACACCCGCAAGTTCACGTCGGAGAAACGCTATATTGAAGAATAAATTGTCGACGTTACGCATTTACGCGACGTTTTGTAGGCACGGGGCGGGGTGCGGGCGGGTGGGGGTGGCCATGCATTTGCGTTTGGACAGTCGTGCACCATTCCCCCCCTCGTGAGCCCACACTTTGTCACGTTTCACACGGCGGTGGAGTTGATCAGCAACGTTAATTTTGTCCGTGCAGAGGTTGGTGATCGAGCCACTGGGCCACTTAAGCCCGGCGTGGTTGAGATTGGTGAGCGCAGCAGGCACCGTGGGCCGCTGTCTCTGTCGTGCCGTAGATGGTTGCAATTGCTCCGTGCTCAATTGCAATCCGCTCTATGCCAATAATTTTCTGGCAAGCCAGCAGGCTTTGTTTCACAAGCTTCCCTCTGCTAAAACTAACAATGATAACAAAATGAAGTAAAGGAGGTGAGCCTTTGCGCTTTAAGAATTCAACTTCACTCAAATTTGGAGAAGATGTGCAATTTCTGTAGATTCAAGGGGAAAATCTCAGTACAGGCAGCAAAGTCGCCGCAAGTTTGGCTCAAGCGACTCAGCTGCTTGAGAGACGGCGTCTTGAAAGAGCGGTGGTTACTGTGTCGACCAGAGAAGATAGTTCTCAGGAATTACCCTCGGCCCACTGTGCGATGTGTGATCTCAGTGGAAGGATGCGCGTGTCGTCCAAACGTCCGTCTCGCTAAGTCGCATTCGAACTCACAGGAACCAAACGTAGCAACCGTGACAAAATGTCGAAGGATCGCCGGGCAATCATCAGGTAATCGTCCTCAGCGGACGGACTACACGACTGAGATGGCTGCACGCGTGCGGACGCTTTTCGATGCGACGTAAATGTCGCCATTGCTTGCTGTGGACGAGGTTGAAGCCGGGGGGGTTCTTCTTTGTTTATGCAACGCAATTTAAGTGCTTTGTTTATGCCATCGTGAAGACGCCGCCGCCACCGCCGCCGCGGTTACTCACGGCAAGGGAGGCCTATGAGAGTGCAATCTCTCACGGAGGCAGCCAGCCTCCCGCGCGCCCCCCCCCCCCAACGAATAATTTTTCTCCACCTGGCCACTTTGATTTGTGGCTCCTAATCACTTGTCGCGCCTGCACACGCACGTCAGCGTTACCCCCCTGCCAAATCGCCACCCCCCAACACACACACACACACACCCCCCCGCACACCCACTCATCATTCAGCGCCCAATAACTGGAGTTGACCGAATGGCACCAAAGCCATTCTGCACATCCCAAAGCAAATCTATAAAGCCCTCTTAAAAAATGTGGGATAATTAGGTTGAAATATTTCAGATTATGATGAAGATACATCGAAACTGCTCAAAATTTTTGTCAGAAAAAAATATTTCTTTACTACTTTGAGATATATATTTTTTCTCTTTTTTATACTTAGCAAACTTTCACGTAATAAATGACTATGTAAATCGGTTGAGCTGTCTCCGTGGAACTGTCTGCACGCCAGCACGCTCGTGAAGCAAACAAAAAATACCTTAAATAAAAAATACTGTTTCCAAAGTGTTTCATGAAGCCCAAAAAATATTTGTAAGTACAACATAACAAGGTAAGCATAGAACTACAACTGAATAAATGTTCACGTCACTTTTGTTTTTCAGCGCTGAGCTGTATTTACCATGTAAATGGCCTGCGTATTATATTTCGTGACACATTTTTTTATGCAATGCTATTTCCGTGAGAAAAGAAAGCTCTGCCAATGTTTTATTGCTCACAAAGGCGTTATGACATTTATTTCAGCATGCTGCAAATGCAGTCCTTCTCAATTACAAACTGGGCACACAAGGAATACGACATGAAAGAATGTGGATATAAAACAAGCACAATTTGCATTTTGATAGCGAAAGTGAAAAAAAAGAACCCACATTCAAACGCTGCCCTACCATTGTTATAGACGCGCAGACATGTGGCGGCGAGTGCCGATATCAAATTAAAAAAAAAAACAGGACAAAAATCCCGAATGTGAATTTGGATATTGTTTGTTGTCAAACAGGGAGAAGCGGGAACGCCGGGGTATCCTGGAATGAGAGGCGAGCCTGGAAGAACGGTAACCACCTTCCCTTTGAATTGTGCTCGTGACCGTGCATTGCAGTCCGCCCGCATGGTCATATTTCGCTCCATATTGCCGCTGGTTCCTGCTCTGTTAAACCTACAATCATAACAGTGGGCAAACAAAAATATAAAACCTCCGCGAAAACGCGGTGCATGGACGGCCTTACCGCAATGCAGTGGATGTCTCGCATGACTTATATGGCAACCTTGTAATATTGAACTCTTTGTGCCTTACAACTGCCCTTATTGAGACTTGGGTACTGGGTTGACATGTACTCGGATGCCTAAACACCCCCATGCTATTGTATACTGCTCACATAAAGCACTGGGCCATTTCTGCCTTATCTCTTTTTCTGGCTACTCGGGGTTCGTATACAACATAGCCGAACAATGAATACTTTTAAGGTCAAAATATGAAGGTTAAATCAACTTGTGAAATGTGATGAAAACAAAAAAGGGATGACATTCAGCAGACAGGCACCAATCAAGAACTTTATTATTTTTGCTTTTAGCCGACTTCAAAGGTCACTGACTGCTGGTTTTGACAGGGAAACATTTTCATAATGATATTGTATCCTGTGCACTTCAATTCAGGAAAGCATTTTGAAAAACAATGTGAAGAGCCATTGTCTCTGCCCCTGAAGCTTTCTGCAATATACTGTAGAGTACATGGTAATTATAAACAAATATTGAATTTGTCCATATACTATAATTCCACACGAATACATGCTAATTGTTATAATTGTAATGGTAATGTGCATATGCATTCTTGGGTTTACATGCAGACATTTGCACTCGTTTGTGTCTAACGATAATATATTTCCCCTCTTTAATATGAATTGAAATGAGTATAGATGTAGATGCAGCCTCGCGGTTGCTTTATTCGTGACTATTTATTTCGATTCCTGTTTACCCAGGAAAGCCCCATTGAGTCTCAAGATGCTTTTTCAAGACGGTTCTTAAAAGGTTTCCCCTGTGAGGGGGGCGATGCTACCGCTGTGCAATTACAATCGAGTAACATTTTAAGCATTGGGATGTTGGGTTTTTTTTGTGCACCAGTTATATTGTATTTTTTTTTTATTAGCCATGTAAAGAAATCAGAGAATCCAGAGAAAACGCGTGCATAACAGGGGAAGAGCATGCAAATGGCCACATAGAAAGACACCCGAGTTGGGAATTGAACCCAGAGTCTTCTTGTCGTGTTACCACCCTGCCATCGTGTTATCAGAAGAGCTCTCCACTCGCATGAGCTCTAGAGACCTCCTCTAGATGCATACGAATGCACACACATAGTAAACCAAACTATTAATATTGTATAATGTTTCGTGCATACCAATACACTCGTTCAGCTATTGTTTTCTTTGCATTTGTTAAGTACATTTGCACACGCATACATGCACACACAGCTGGACAAATGGCTTTATTTCTTGCGAACACAAACTGGTCATTGTATAAAAGCATACAGTGTATGATTTATCACAGATGCAAAAACACACCTTAAACTGCAGGGGACAATATGCGGTATATAGGTGCTCAATATTGTTTCATGATCGTTATCATTGCCCATCCATGTCCATACATTACGATATCAAGCAAACTGTCAAATTGTATACAAAATACACACGTTTTCTTGTCAGATGCAGTTACATTTTCTTCAACAAAAGCCCCACGTCAAATGCCATGTGCCGAGTCAATTGTGTGTTTTTTTTTGTTGAATTTATATTTACTTAATAGTTCTGCCTAGAAACTGAAATAATTGGAGACTAATTGTTCCAATGCGTTCTCGAATGCTGCAGAGGTAAATTCCAGAGGCAAGAGCAGTCAGTGAAAAGTGCAATTGCGTTAAGGGGAATCTCAACGTGCTCCAACGTTGAGGTTTAACAACTGGGGCCCTTCAAAAAGCCGCAATGTGCAGGAATTCGTGGAGAGAGTAGGCACGTATCGTCGTTTTAGTTTTTTTTTTAAATAAAATCGTTCGGATTGTTTAACCAACCGTTTTCTCATGCACTACTCCACGTTGCTGTTGTTGAACACTATTGTTTCAACGAATAACGATTGAATGGCTTTAACTAATCATACAATATTTCGAATGGCTACAAAAAAACACACACTTGTGTCAGTTTTAAGTAATGCGTAACAACTTAAAACAATACTTTCAGATGGTGGAAAATTATATTTTCTATCTCTCGCTCTCCTTTTGCCCTGTAATTGCCATTGTGTAGTTGCAGTATCAATGTGCATGCCTTAAGATGTGTGTTATTGTTATTTTACGGGAAATGGCTTTTCATGGCCATTCAACTTTTTGGACAGTTTCAATATCTTATTCCGTTAAAGGAGGGTGAGATGAAGCTGCTGTCGACACACCTTATTCAAGCATTCAAAAACATATGGGATGAAATGCTTGACCATATTGTTAAACAACAAAAAAAATCCACCTTCCCCTTACGTTTAATGAATTCCAAAAGCAATTGGCCATAAAGTTCGGGACTGGCCTGTGTTGGTAGACAGGTCAGTTGTAGTTTCAGCTCACAAGTCCTAACTTGTTTTTATGCACCACGAGCATTGTATGTTTTGCACATGTGTGCTTCTCCCCACAGATGATGAATGATGGAAAAATAACACCTACGCTAAGCCAGGGTTTATCTATGCCAGTTGTTCGGCATGCTTCAACAACACACAACACAGGCTTTTGTGACGTGTGTGCATGTGTGTGTGTGAACTACAGCTTATAAGGAGACAAAATGTTTGGACAAAAAAAATGTACAACAGTATTTCCTTTGTTATTCGCTACATTGCATTCATAAATTAATCACATGTATGCCAAATTAATATATAAAACAAGTATACTTTATAGTCTGGAACTTAATGAGCTAAAAGGTTAAAACAAGTTAACCCTCCTCCAGTTTGTTATTTTTGTTTACCAAACACAAACAAATTGTATTATATGAATGGTGTTAATAGTATACTTGTTTTATACATTACAATCAGAAATGGCAGGAAATATTGGTCAACTAGATGTGAAATCTCTTGATTTCATCGTGCCAAAACAGCTTTGAGTGGAAATTTGTTGAGGCATGACAAAAAAAACCCATTAATGTGGTTTGGATTCAGTTGGAAAATTATTTAGGTGCAAGCCAATTATTGCGAATTCATACACAAAGGGAGTAGATATTATGAATTTTAAAACATAATTTTAACAATTCCTACATGCTTGGCAATCATGGCATTTTTGTAATTGAATTGAATTACTTTATAGTATGGAACTTAATGAGCTAAAAGGTTGAAACAAGTTAACCCTCCAGTTTTTTTTATTTTTGTTTACCAAACACAAAACAAATTGTATTTGTATATATGGAAGGCGAATTGCTGCAATTACATTAATGATACATTCCTTGACACTTCCCATTGCAAATTGGACAATGAGTCTTTTTGCTTCGGGTGTGGCAGTGACTTTAATTTGAAGGAGACTGGGGTGAAAACACGCGCCTCTCCTATGTACGTCGAGTGTTTTTTCGCACCGTTACGTAGCCAACCGCGCTAACCGGAGGTGCCTCTCGTCACTGATTGCAGGGACCATCCGGAACTCAAGGACAAATGGGGACACTGGGCCACAAGGTACCGCCAGTGTAATGCCGCCGCGGAAGTGATGCTGGTGGTGCAGCATCCGGTTCTCGTTTTGGTCAACATTCTTCCACTTCCGAGCATTCGTCCCAATCGTTGGGATCACGTTTTCCAAGTCCCCCTCTCTCTCTCTCTCTTTTTCCACACGGTCTTCGAATCCTAGCCTTGTCCTATTTTGTTTTAAATAAAAAAGGCCTTTTTGTTTTTTTTTATTTCAGTCAACGATGACTGAGTGAGTGGAATCAAAGCTTGACGATGACTACAACTGTCAACCAAAGACGAAAGAGTGACGAGACAACATTATTTCGCCTTGAGTAAAGATGCATACTAAGCTAATTTTGTAAAGCTATTACAAATAATATTGCGCTGAGAAAGACCAAATATGGTAGTTGGCTATATATGGACACAAAACTCTGTTTTACAAAGTTCAGTTATTTTCTCACCAGACAATATATGGCAGGAAAAATAACGTGCCACTCACGCCAACAATTGATGACTTAGAGAAGGAGACATGTTTTACGAGTACATATAGTCGGCTCGACGAAGAGAATGACCAAATTAAATGTACGAGCTAAGATGTGGCTTACAGTCCACAGGTTGTATTGTACTGGCGCTAAAAGAGAAGATTCTCACTCTAGTAACACTGGTAGCATCACACAACCCATACCATGTTGCTTGTGTAACGATTGATGAATCCATTGTCGAATGTTTGCTTGTGGCTAAATGGCGAATCTGCCCTTTTACAGTGGCTCTTTAAGCCAATGCAGTCTCAAAGACAGAGGACTTGGTATGCCACTTGAAGATAAGCGAACAATTGATGTCACTTCGAGCATTATAGTGACATTCTAAATTAAATTATTGTCAGGATACAATCTATATGGGATGTTTAAGTACGAATGATTAAGATTGGTGACATCTAAGGATTGTCTTAAGAAAGCATGGCCATGTGATAGGTTTTAAAAATGTGGTTCTCTCCACAACGGAGTTGTTTAATGATTGCATCGATCGGTTTGTTCAGGAAGGAAATGAGTGAACCCTACGTTGAGATTAATCCCTTTTCGTCTTCCCTTTTCCCCGGTGACCTGTGACGCACAGGGGGAACAAGGTCTGCCTGGCCCAGAGGGAGAAAGGGGACCGTCAGGTAGCATGGTGAGCAACGCTACCGTTTAGGCCTTCATTGTCGTGCTGGGTAAGCTCTCTCCGAGTCGCAGCCGCGTGCTGTTTGGCACAGTGGCTGACGTTTCACTCCGCGTGCTGGGCAGCTACTTCCTTCCCACGAATGAATTGTGTACCGAAGAAGATCCCGTCATGCGGAGCGAAATGTCAGACGCGTCGCCGGACAGCTCACGGGGAGCGAGCCGCAAACAAGTGACGTAACTATTGTGAGCCGTTGTTATGTATCAATGCATAGCCATTTATGCAAGTAGGTTAACTATTTACATGGTACGTGAGCACTTGCAAGGAGGTAGAGAGGGCAGAGTGTCCTGATCTTGTTTGTTCGTTGTAAAAAAAAAATGAATCGGCTTTTGTGAAGCATATGCAAAAGTCTCTCGTGCTCACAAGTGTCTCTTGTAGAAGTCTTAACAATGCTGTGCGAACACATCATGGCACACTGTGAGCTTATCCGCAAAGCCATCAAATACACAACTCCCTCAACGGAGCATCTGCTTGCAGTTTAAACAGAGGGCCAAAAAAAAAAATCGATATTCTTTGTTTGAGTGTGTGTGTCTCTTGTGTGGAGCGGTAGTGTAGTGGTTAGCTAGCTGCGCTACGAACCAGGCGACTCGAGTTCACGCTCACGGCCAACACCATTGACGATTATTTTAACCGGTTCTGGGCCTCCCCTAGGTCGACTCAGCCTCAAATGAGTACCTGGTGCGGTGTGTAAACATGGCCACTATGGAGACAAAGGCGGTCGGGCGTGGCGCTGGTCACCCACCCCCTCGTGTGCCGTTCCGGCCTTCACAGGTGCTCCCTAATAGCACTTGCCCCAACAGTCTGTTAAGGCTACACGAGGGATCTGTGTCTTTGTGTCTCTGTGCACGCACAAGCGAAGTGGTCACATTTAGCGCATTGAGCTACAGTGTAAATTCTGTGGAGCTGATTTCTGAACCTATAATAACAACATCAGTGAACATTGCATGGGCTTACTCTAGGTGAACTCAGCCTAAAACGCGTACCTGGTACAATGACATTGGGGAGGTAATTAATGCCTAGGGATGGAGGAGCTTGTCACACTCCTACTCATGCGTTGTGCCGGCCTGAATAACATTTGTGTCAGTGTTGTGTGCAAACAAAATCGGAAAATATTATTTTTTAATACTCGAGGAATCGGATGGCCTATAACGCTATTTTTCTCCAAAAAGGCTGAAAAGTTGGACTACAGATGAGCATGAGCAATACAAAAGTCATATACAACATATTTGCCAAAACACAGTATTAACATTGTTCTATCTTGGCACTTAGTGGAGGTTGATTGGTGGAAAACGGAATATATCAACGCATAGTTTTAAGCTGTCGAGAACTTAACCCAGAGAGTCTGAGAACTTAACAGCATAGGATTAGCCTAATTTGCAAGAGTGACCTGTGGCATCAGTCTGTCAAGAGGGAGCCAATGTGACTGCAAGGATTCATCTTCTTTGGTTCTTTCGGTAAAGTCACGTAGAATGAGAATAAAATAATAAATTGATAAAATAAAATAACACAATAAAATTCTCACGACGTTTCGGCCACAACACAAGCGGCCTTCATCAGGTGAAGGGACGAGACTGTCTGGAGGACAGCGCTGGAGCGAACACAGCCAAGCTCAGACCGCGACCTTTAAGCTGTGTGAGAAGAAACAGAGCGCCTTGACAAAGGAATTAGCATAGAATTTAGCATTGAAATAACTGAGGGATTAGCTTGTGACTGGTCACAGAAATAGCTATGTTAAAGTCAAAGCCTACACATCCACAGAGGCACCTAGTATAAATCAAACAGGAGAATTTAGCATTGAAATAGCTGAGTGCTTAGCTTGTGACTGGTCACAGAAATGGCTATGTTAAAGTCAAAGCCTACACATCCGCAGAGGCACCTAGTACAAATCAAACAGGAGAATGTAGCATTGAAATAACTGAGGGATTAGCTTGTGACTGGTCATAGAAATAGTTATGTTAAAGTCAAAGCCTACACATCCACAGAGGCACCTAATACAAATCAAACAGGAGAATTTAGCATTGAAATAACTGAGGGATTAGCTTGTGACTGGTCATAGAAATAGTTATGTTAAAGTCAAAGCCTACACATCCACAGAGGCACCTAATACAAATCAAGCAGGAGAATTTAGCATTGAAATAACTGAGGGATTAGCTTGTGACTGGTCATAGAAATAGTTATGTTAAAGTCAAAGCCTACACATCCACAGAGGCACCGAATACAAATCAAACAGGAGAATTTAGCATTGAAATAGCTGAGTGATTAGCTTGTGACTGGTCTTAGAAATAGTTATGTTAAAGTCAAAGCCTACACATCCACAGAGGCACCGAATACAAATCAAACAGGAGAATTTAGCATTGAAATAGCTGAGTGATTAGCTTGTGACTGGTCTTAGAAATAGTTATGTTAAAGTCAAAGCCTACACATCCACAGAGGCACCGAATACAAATCAAACAGGAGAATTTAGCATTGAAATAGCTGAGTGATTAGCTTGTGACTGGTCTTAGAAATAGTTATGTTAAAGTCAAAGCCTACACATCCACAGAGGCACCGAATACAAATCAAACAGGAGAATTTAGCATTGAAATAGCTGCGTATAATCCCAATTCAGTACCTTGAGTAACTACACTGACGTCGTCGGGCAGACAACGGCCTCCTCCTGTGAATGACCCCAGTGGACCGTTGACGTCCGCTGTGACTTTCACACCCGCAGCAGCAGCAGCAGTAATAATCTTGACGGCCGCTGGATTTAAACCGCGAACCTCTGCAGCAAACGGCGAACGTGCGACCTCTAGGCCCACGCCCACCGCCCTCGTAACGTGAGCAACATAAGTGATCAAATTAGTCCCTGTGCAGGAGTAAGGTGCATTGCAATATCACCAAACTTGTCGAGACTGTTGCTGTCATCGCATATGCGTGGGGATGTGCTTCATACAGCAGTGGATCGATAATAGCTGCTGCTGCTGCTGGCCATGAAGAAAACATCATATAGCAGCTTCGAGTGTGAATAGTTTGTTGTCCTTTCCCTGCACCTCCGAATAGTACGGTTGGCTACGTAAGGTGCAAAAGAAGTTCTACATACATACAAAAATTACATCTTACCTACAGCCTGGCATTGTTCGATTGTGAACTTCCAAGTTGAAAATCTCTGCCATTGAATTCCTCGCGTATTCTACATGCACCTATATTTCAAGACCGGAAGCTGCCGTTCTACTTGCCAGCTCTGATCCAGCTCTGTGATCTGAACAGAACCAGATGTAACGCTTGCCTCTCACGCACCATATCCTCAGAGAAAAGTTGAGCGCTTCTGTGGCAAAGTGCTTGATGCTTGAATCCTTACATTCCCATTCATCGTGACCCCTTTACGTCTCCCTGATGCAAGTTGCAGGTGATTTATTTAGTAACTGGGATGCAGCTGGTAAAGCTCATTGTGCTCGTTTGCATTAGCATGCCAATCCTCCTTCAGCGCAGCTGCTGTGCGTGCTTGCGGTGACGTTGCTCGTGTGCGACGACGGGGCTCATTTCCCATTATATTCGTTTGCATGAGCATGCCAATCCTCCTTTGGTGCATCACTGACCCCGCCTACTTACCCCTTGGGTGACACCCACCTCAAACCTGTATATAGCCTCTTCTCGCAACAGCCCTTTCTTGTTCAGCAGTCCTACGGCTGTATCTTTCTACCTGATGACGATTGCTTGTGTTGCGATCGAAACGTCATTTTTTTTTCTATTCTACCTACGTGACTTTACCGAAAGAACCAAAGAGTATGGATTCCTGCAGTCACGAAAACTTCAAATCAAGATTGATTTTAGGTGTATTTATGCTTACGGAGAATACATGGTGAAAGACAGTTATTGTTAATGAAAGCAACGCTATTAATGCATGTGTCTTGGATCCCGGTTTTATATGTTTAGAAAGCCTGCCTATAATTAAGCAATAATAATAATACGAATAATATATGACATACAGTCAATCTGCTGCCGAACGAAGACATCCCCACGCCATGTCGATCTGTGTGGTTGCTTGAGCATATTTCACCGTGCTGGTCCAGGTGCAGCCTGGCGAAGCAGTTGGAGAGGGGGCATCTGGGAACGGTTCAGAAATTATTTCCTGCGAACGTTAGCTGAGACTGAGGAATGAAACTCAGGTTTCCAGACTCAACAGCGCAGTGCGCTAACAATTTGCACCACTGCTCTCCCCTTATATAAAACATTTTTTTATTGAGGAGACCATTGAGATTGCTTTTATTTGATCTTTAAAATATCCAATTAGAATATAGTCAAGACTGGCACTCAAGAGACGTAGCTGTGTATTTTTTTCCCTGTGGTATGATTAGGTCTTAATTTGAAAGAACAGCAGGGATCATGATTTCAAATAATAATAATAACACACTTGCTGATGGAAAGCTTACAAGTTGTTTATTCCTCGACAATGTCAATACATTAAAAACCACGCACAGTCACAGGTAATATTACACCCTTACATTATTGATGTTACCTCTGGCACCCTGTAATACATTACAATTGCATGGAATAGCTCATGCATAATGCATTTATTTTTGCTTGACAAGAAACAGTGAATCTTGACTTAAAGCTTTCGTGACTGCAGGAATTCATATTTTTGGGTCTTTCGGTAAATAAAATGGATATAACACGAATCATGTATGACCAACTGTCAATCCACTGCCGAATGAAGGTATTATCAGTCGTGCACATGAACTAACTTGTGTGAAACCAATTTACTATAATATAATTTATAGAGATTATCATTTTTGTAGTTGGCAGGGCCACCTTGTGAACATATATTGTGATCCTTCCATAGATTCCCCACGAAAATAATGAACAAAATATGGAGAAAACATTTTATTTTAAAGTCTATACCTGTCCCCTACCAATATCCATTGTTTCACACTCTCTTCTCTAATATATGGAATCATATATTTCAGAATATTCTA